TCAACCCCCCCCCTCCATGATGGCACCTGGGGTGGACTCCCCCGCCCCCCTTTCCTACGCCCCTGAATGTGAGCCCTGAAAGATAATCTACCAAAGCTATTCCAGGCAGGCTTTGCTTGAGGAAGGTATTCTGCTTACCTTCACTAAACTTGTTTCCTAAAGAACAGGGGGTGGAATGAACTGCTAGAAGATTTCCTCCTGTTACTAAATAACATCTGTTTCCTTCACTTCCTTGACACCTGCTGTTATCAGCAGATAATCTCTAACCCAAACTTGCAATCTGGGGATTATCTAAATAATAAAAGAGAATTGGGACTAACAAAGAAAAACAATTGCGACAAGTCTCTCTGTGTGGACACAAACCAAGAGGCTAACTGCATCTTTGCTCCACTGCCACCACCAGGAATGAAGGCATGAGACATTGATAGTTTCCAGATGACTTGATCACTGAGCATTCATCCTGCTAAGCCAACCTAATTTATGCAACTTGAATCCCACCTGAATGCAGCAACAGTCTGGAAGTGGGTGGGAATTACAGCTTTATTACCTTCAACAAGTAGAAAGTCCGTGCATCAGTCCTAAGAATCATTCAGTTCAGGCCCCTGAACTTCAGTTGTATCCAATATTTACAAATTACAGTCGTACCTTGGTTATCAAACGGCTTAATTGCTGAAGAAATCAGTTCCCAAACGCCACAACCCCAGAAGTAAGTGCAAACCTTTTCGGAAGCTGAACTTCCAACGCGGCTTCTGCTTGAGTGCAAGAAGCTCCACAGACAATCAGAAGCCATGCCTTGGTTTTCAAACGTTCCGGGAATCGAACAGACTCCCAGAACAGATTAAGTTTGATAACCATGGTACAACTATACTAATAAGCAATCAATAATTAGCCAGAGAGGACAGAGATTAATTTTGGATGGTGTTCTAAATTGTTGTTTTTTATTTTTAAAAAATTGTCAGTTGAAGCCAAATCATACAACTACTGCTTAGTAATACTAAATTAAAGTAATTAAAGGTAAAAGACCCCTGGACGGTTAAGTCCAGTCAGAGGCGACTATGGAGTTGTGGCACTCATCTTTCTTTTAGGCTGAGGGAGCCGGCATTTGTCCACAGACAGCTTTCCAGGTCATGTGGCCAGCATGACTAAACTGCTTCTGGCAGAATGGAACACGCATGGAAACGCTGTTTACTTTCCTGCCTCAGAGGTACCTATTTATCTACTTGCACTGGTGTGTTTTCGAACTGCTAGGTTGGCAGGAGCTGGGACAGAGCAACAGGAGCTCACCCCATTGTGGGGATTTGAATTGCTGACCTTCTGATCAGCAAGCCCAAGAGGCTCAGTGGTTTAGACCACAGTGCCACCCACATCCCAAATCAATTATGAGTTCAGTGATACACACGCACACTAGTACAGAGGTCGGCAAACTACAGTCCGCAGGCCGGATATGGCCCATGGGGGTTGTTAAATCGGCCCCCAGCCCTTGCCGCCCGCTCGGTCAGTCCCCACACGGAGCTAAACTGGTGGGGGAAGAGCAGCTTTTGGAGCCATGGGGGTGGTGGTGTCTGTGGCTTCCTATTGGCTGCAGGAGCTTCCTGAAGCCAATAGGAAGCCATGGCTGTGTCCCAGCAGTCAGTCTCCACACAGAGCAACCAGCACGGTGCGCCGGTTTAGCTCCACGCGGGGACTGACAGAGCAGGCAGAAATGGCTTCCTGTCTTCCGGGATGCAGCCATAGCTTCCTATTGCCTGCAGGAAGCTCCTGCAGCCAATAGGAAGCCACAGACGCCTCCCCCCCCCCATGGCTCCGAAAGCCAGCGGGGAAAGAGCGGCGTGTGTGTGCATATGCGCACGGGTGCGCACACTCCTACAAGCGTGCAGGCGATCCGGCCCGCTGGTGGAAAAGTTTGCCTACCCCGGCACTAGTAGGTGAGTCTAAGGTTGCCGACTTGGGATATGTGCCAAGTTCATTTCCTCCCATCCGCTGCATTTCAAGCCACATTTGCACAGTACACATCACAGAGGAGGCGGAGATGTCTTCGCCCAATATGCATGGCCTTTGTGGTTTCCTTGCCCCTGCAGCCACCAATACCCCACACCTTTTCATGAAGCTGCCATCTGTGTATGCGCAACCATCTGCACGTGTGTGACAGCTGTCTCAAATGTACGAATGTATGAACACAGCGTAAGTTTGCTAGTCAGATTGAAGCTGCTTTGAAAAACAATGCATCAATCAGCAGGGTTTGCCAAGACACTGTAGGATCAATATGGATTGTGGCTAACATCGTATGAATGTGGCTTCAAAAACCAGAAGTGAAACTGCACTGGATGTGGAGTAAGTGGTAATATGAACAAACACTTAGAAAAGGAAGGGTAAACTGGAGTGGAACAAAGGATTAAAGACACACACACACACACGCTATCTGCTTGTCTAAAATGAAACCCAGCTCTGAGCTCTAATGTGTGCATTTGCAAGTAACATGTACAGTCATACCTCGGGTTGAATGCGCTTCGGGATGAGCATGTTCGAGTTGTGCTCCGCGGCAACCCAGAAGTTACGGAGCACATTACTTCCGGGTTTTGCCACTTGCGCATGCACAGACGCTCAAAATGATGACACACGCATGCGCAGAAGCAGCGAAAAGCGGCGTGCATGTGCGCAGATGTGACATCGCTGGTTACGTTTGCTTCTAGATGCGAACGGGGCTCTGGAACGGATCCCGTTCGCATCTAGAGGTACCACTGTAGTTAGCTGCTGAAATTTCTCCCTTTTCTTTGAAAATACAACCACTTGCAAATTAGGTTAGCTGAACACAAAGTTGCCTTTATAAGTCAAGCGTTACGATCAAATTTTAAAATAAACAAAGCTTACTGCTCCACAATTGTGGATAGGTTTTTATTAAGACTTCAGGAATGAGTTTGAAAATCTGGTATTGTATTTTAAATGTTCTAAGTATGTGCTGAATTCTTTTAAAAACTGAAACTGTACCAAACAGTACATCAATCTCTCTTCCACACACACATTTTATATTTTGCTTTCTTCATGTTCTCAAAGTATAATGGAGCATTCATATAGAGAAGAGAGAGCAGGAAAGAGATTAATAATATATATGCTCACAATCTGCTTTTCTTCAAAAATAAGGCTTTGAGCTACCTACAATAAACCAAAGCAAAAATGAAATCACAACAAAGGCCCAACACTGTAAAGGTAAAGGGACCCCTGACCATTAGGTCCAGTCGCGGACGACTCTGGGGTTGCAGCGCTCATCTCGCTTTATTGGCCAAGGGAGCCAGCGTACAGCTTCCGGGTCATGTGGCCAGCATGACTAAGCCGCTTCTGAAGAACCAGAGCAGGGCACGGAAACGCCGTTTACCTTCCCACCAGAGTGGTACCTATTTATCTACTTGCACTTTGACGTGCTTTCAAACTGCTAGGTTGGCAGGAGCAGGGACGGAGCAATGGGAACTCACCCCGTCGCGGGGATTCGAACCGCCGACCTTCTGATCAGCAAGTCCTAGGCTCTGTGGTTTAACCCACAGTACCCACACTGTAGTATATGGTAAACATACAACAAAGCAGAATAAATATAACTAAAATGACATGAAAACATTCTCATGTAGCAGCATTAAGTTATAACTAATGATGAATTAGTTAATAGGGACGCGGGTGGTGCTGTGGTCTAAACCACTGAGCCTAGGGCTTTTCCTTAGGCTGTCCCTACTTTCACTGGACAATTGTTGCAGGGTATGGAGTTATCCGACCCCCGAGCCGTCTGAAGGCAATTCTGTAGAGGGAATGTTTTAAAAAATGTTTAACATTTTTATTATGTTTTTATATATGTTGGAAGCTGCTGGGGCAACCCAATAAGATGTGTGGGATATAAATAGTAAAATTATCATTATGGAATGGGACGTCCCTATTTTCATTGGAGAAATGTTGGAGGGTATGAACTTCCTTGAATTCTGTTGAGCCCTGATGATCTCAACTGCAATTGAGCCTTGGCCCAAACAATCTACATTGGCCTAAGGATACCTACACCTGTGGTCGTTTGTATACCAGTTAGGGATAGACATGCTTAGCCCTCTAATATTAATCCCAGCCAGTTCAGAGTTATAGTAGGTGAGGATAATAATTAATAATTATTATATTATTTATATGCCACCCAGACACTCTGGGTGGCTCCCAACCAAATGTCAAAAACACATTAAAACATCAAACATTAAAAAACTTCGCTATACATGGCTGCCTTCAGATAATAATAATAATAATAATAATAATAATAATAATAATAATTTATTTATACCCCACCCATCTGGCAGAGTTTCCCCAGCCACTCTGGGCGGCTCCCAATCAGTGTTAAAAACAGTGCAGCGTTACATATTAAAAACTTCCCTGAACAGGGCTGCCTTAAGATGTCTTCTGAATATCAGGTAATTATTTATCTCTTTGACATCTGATGTTTCCTGAAAGTCAAGGATCCTAATTCCTCAAATGTAGTTCTCCACTCAGTAAAGTGGGAAAGGCATAGCTGTCAACCTTCCCCTTTTTTTGTGGGAAATTCCCTTATTCCAGCGCCGTTTCCCGCAGCTATCCCGGATTGTTAGATATCCCATAGACTATCCCCGGAACAGGTGAGGCTGCTGGTCCCTTATTTTCAAATCTGAAAGTTGACAGCTATAGGGGAAAGTCCTTTGGGATGCCTAACGCTCTCATATTGTCTGTAAAATATACCCAACATTGTATGCAGAAGATACCCAGGTAAACGGGTGCATTTGTATGATGGCATATGAATGAACCAGGAAGCTCAGGGGACTGTTTTGCCCTTTCATGCCTTTTGCACACTTCTGCTGCCTGAACCAGCCCAGATGAGCCTCCCACAGCTCTTGCGGAGAGGATCCAGGACTCTAACCTTTGGACCTTTTGTAATTTGCTCTGAACTTCTAAACCGTTTGGCTCAGCTGCTTTCCCACGCACTATTTAAAGGCAGGTCCAAGTGGGGACGCTCAGACTCTCTTTTGACGCTGGACTGGGAGAAGAAGGAGAGGAGAGGGCAGAGCAGCCACAGGGTCAAGATGGGACCCCCACAGCTCTGGCTGCTTCTGCTGCTCAGCAGTGCTGCCTTGGCACGTAAGTAGCTTCTGCCATTTAGCGTGGAGGTGGAGCAGAAAGGTCTTCCCTTTTGAAGACAGTCCCTAGGTATTGCATTTAATAGAGAAGTGGTGAATAGACTGCAATGGCCCGTTGCTCCCATAAGGGATGGTTATCTATTGATGAGACTGTGGATCTATGCAAATCTGATCTAGACATGCCCACTCTGCTGGTACATGCCTGGTTCATTCCACATACCAGGCACTCTGTGTTTTCTGCTTACTTAGCTTTTTACCCCTTTAAGGAGGAGGTTGAGGTTTTGTCAGCTGCGCTGTGACAAGTTAGGTGGCATTTGGTGACAGAAATACATGTCTGTTGAAAGTTTCCTTCGTGTCTTCATTAGAGTGCATTCTGCTGCTGTTGTTTTTAAACCAGAGTCTCCAATGTGGCTTATGACATTTATCAAAAAAAGTAAATGGAAAGGAATATGTGTTGGACCATAATAAAAAGCCCGTAATTAATTGGAAAATACCTTTATTTGAAACAACCAAATAGTGAATGAGCTTTCCAAGTTCTACAGTTTAAGAATTAAACCAGCGGTGTAACTCACTGTGTAGAGCATTTGATGAAATATGAAGCTACAATCTTGTCCCAAGGACACACCCTGAGGCAACAGTCCTATGCACACTTTCTGAGAAGAGTATGCCCCCTTTGGACCTTTCAGGACCTGTTCCAGAATTAAACATGCATGGGACTGGGCCATCAGGCTGTTGCAATCCTAAACACATTTACCAAGGTGCAAGACCCACTAGGATCAGAATAAACACAGAAAAACTTGGGCTTCAGTCCTAACAAAGGTATTGCCCAACCGTTGCTTTTGGAGAGCTTTCCCCTTGAATGAACTAACACTGCTACCTTTGCTTTTTAAAGCCCCATTTAAGTCAGTGGCTTCAAACAAATGGAACTGGGTTCAGGACTGCAGGCTGGCATCCTGATCCCAAACACATTTTTTCCAGATGAAACCTCTGTGGATTTCAGTTGACCTCAAAGTAAGGTTACGGTCCTATGACCAATCACCTGGGAATTTTGAACACACACAATGTACTCAGTGGGGCTTACTTATGAGTAGGATTGCTCTGTCAGCATGCTTCAGACTGGGATGTAAAGTTGCTTCAGTAGTCCCATTGTTTGGAGAAAAACAGTGATGTTCTTGCCTCTGGGTTCAGTTTCCCTTTCTGCTTGGTGGACCTGAATTCTTCAGAAAGTGGGACTGCATCTAATACCTTTGCATTCTTCTTCACTCACTAAAGAAAATAGCACTTTAGCAGGATCAGGTTCTCCACTGGGTTTGGATGCTCAGTGTAACTCAATGCTTTCTCTGGATCAACAATGTGGATGCATCAGCAATTTGATATGCATGTTACACTACACAAATGGACCTTTTCAACATTTCAGACAGAGAAGCATATGGCAAATCACATACTCATTCTCATAGCAAAACAGCCTTTGGAAAGGAAGCATATTTTAGCAGCACTTACCCTTTCAAAGCAGACAGTTGTCTAAGCAGCCTGAGGCAGAATGTATATTTTAATGGAGAACAGTTATTGACGAGGACAATTTGCAATAAATTCATTTACCAGCCATGCTGCTCTTGAAGGTCTGTATTTTTCAGACTGAAGCATTATCCCTCACCAGCACAATAAATTGTCTACTTGTTAGCAAAGACAAAAATCAGAGTCAACGCAGCTTTATCATTAAATCCACAAACTGCTTGAGTGAACCTTTCTGCTCAAGTGGGTCAGCAGCAATAAAAGGCATGTTTATAAGGTGACTGTACTGTATTTTGTTCCTCTGGTATATAATTGGAACTGAAGTTGTCCTTTGTTTTAATTTATTTTACAGAAGATGGGCCTGAAAATTCAAATCCAGGCTGTTCAAGTAAGCAATTTTTATCTGGTCTTTTATGCTCTTCTTCTCTTCCTGGTTTCTTAAAACTTCTGCCCAATGAATTCTTGGGTTTGGGTTTCATATGATGCAAACAAACTGGCTAGAAAGGGATGATAGCAGGGGCTACTAACCATTCACTCCCCGAAGCAGTATTTCTAGCTTCAATTGATACTGGGGTTTGGGGGTCAGGAAGTGGGGAAGATGACAAATATAGACAAAATGCATAAATGTGTGTGATGTACTTCAAAAATTGCAAAGATCGACAGCCTATCCGAAACAGGAAATGGGGGTCAATAGAGATGATCGAATCAGGCGGTTATTGGGTGGTGGTTTTTTTTATTTTGATTATGTATTGTGTGGTTTTATATTCTGATTGTATTCTGTGAAACACCCTGAGAGCTGTGGGTATATAAATTCAATAAAATCAATCAATATTTTTTCTTTGCTGGCTCTTATACCTGCCAAATATGTTGTGAAACGGGTTTGTGTGCATGGAGGGAGGATTACATGCATGCCTATATGCCTACCTGATCCCTTCCTCTAAAACAGCAGTCACCAGCATGGTGCTTGCAGGCACACATATGATCTCAGAGGCTTCCTGTGACTCTTCAATGCCTCCTTCCACTGCTGAAGTTAGCTTGAAAGAAGCACTTTTCCGTAGCCTACAGAACAGGTTGTTCTGTGTTCTTGGTTGTGGCGAGTGTGTGGTATACCTACATCAGTTTCTCTGCTTTGCAAACGGACCCATGGGACCCCTGCTGTAAAACATGACCCCAAAATGATACCATTATATTATGGGATCCTTACTTGTGCAAAACTCTTTTGCACTTAGAAACTGTAAAGGAGAAACGTAGTTTCCAACATGGTTGTGAAAGGCAGCAGTTTTGGTTCTTTTAATCATGGGTTCCCTTTGTCTTGCCTTGCTTCTTGTCAGCTGACTTTTCATTTCTTTATGGTGTAGTGGGGGTTACAGTCGTGGATCTGAGAAATTATGTCTATATTATCCAAGATATACAAATGACGGAACTCTTTGTCAACTTCTTAGCTAGTGTCCTCAAATATCAGAATGTACCAAAGTGTCTTGGTGAATGTCTGAAATGAGATGTGTTTTTGACATTCATATGCAAATTCCATCAATCTCAGACAACATTTCTGAATGCCTGAAAACTCAGTGAATGTTGGCAGTCAGTAGCCTTCCTTTGACTGTCACCATTGGCTTGCAAATGTCCCAAATCACAGACACTCCTTAAAATGTATATTGTGTTTGCTGAAAAATAAAACATTGGAGTGGGTAGCCTGAAAATGACAGGGTCAAGGGATCAGGAAGTATTTATGAGCAACCTTTGTAAAGTACTTTGTTTGTCCTGAACTCCTTGGCTAGATACTTGATGTTCATTTTGAGGGTCAAAGTATCTGATGAGTTGGTGTTTTTCTCGCTGTCCCTTGATAAGCTCCGCTTTCCTAATATGGTGTATTAGCGCCGTCTGCAGAGACTCATGACTTAGGCTGCAATCATAACCCCACTTACCTGAATGTAGGCCCCATGGAATCCAGTAGGCCCTACCAGGGTGAACTTTGGTAATCTTTCATAATATGGAGCCCTATGCTAGGCCAAAAATTGATGCCCCCAAATAGATCTTCTCAGTTATGGATCTTCACAATTTTGTGTCCTCTGGGCTTAGTGCCCTGTGCAGGAAAGCTGTCCGCACTCCCCAAATCTGGTGCCGGGACAAACTTCTGGATAGACCTAGTTAGGATTGCTGCCAAACTTACTTTTTCCAACCCAGCTTAGAGAACTGTTACGCATTTTGCAGCATTTCTCAGTTTTATCTTGTTTTGTGTATATACCTTCATAAAAACAAAGTTTTTACAGGTGTTGTATCTAAATTTAATAGTACATAGGAATTACTAAAGTAAATACTAATTCTCTCCTGGATAGCTCAGTGATATAGTGAGCATAGGAAAAAGTTGTCTTGGGTGGCGATCAACTATGTTTTACTCAGAGTAAGCCCACTGACATTAATGGACATGACTAAGTTAGGTCCATTGATTTTAATAGGTTTACTCCTAGTTAAATTTAGCTGAGCTTGTGTAAAATGTAGGGCTCATTTGGATTTTGTTTTGTGCTGTGCTTCCCAGTGTTTTTGAGCAGGTTTTGGGGGTTTTCTTGGTCTTGGTTCTTTCCCCCAGGACAGCTCACATATTACCACTGAATTGGAGCAAACTCCAATCTGCAGAAACCTAATTGCCGTTTGCTCCAATTCAGTGGTAATACCCAGGTTTTCCCAGGGAAGGTGCAGGGATAAAAACCCCCACAAATACTCAGACATGGAGATTTGAAGCTCAGACTTTGGCACAAAAGGCAGTCTGGATGAGCCAGTTGAGCAAGATCTAGTGTCATCCTAGAGGAGTAAGTGGACCTCTATGGGACTAGATATGGTTAAATGTCAGTTTGGTGGCTGAAACGCTAATAGTTGATTGGTTTCACTTAGTCATCCATATGTACCAAGTGGTTTGTTGGCGGAGGCCTGGAACCAGAGATCCTCTTACTTAACAGCGGGCTGCAGAGTAATTGCAATGAGCAAAAATCTGTGCAGATGAACAAACGGTTGGAGCTGGTAGCACCAATTGCTTGAGAAAGGGACTGTCTGGAATGAGTTTCCCCCAAGAATTCAGCTGCACTTTTAGAACTCAGTGTGCTGGCCATCTTTTCAATATTGTGTTCATGCAGCAAAAGTCCAGTGCTCACAGGTCTGGGTGTAGTAGGTATCCTATTTTCGACTCATCCCTCGGGATCCAGACCTCAGGACCCCTCTTCATGTGAGAGCACATTCAGGACCCCAGTTAACATGCAGGTGTTTGTATCGCTCTTGCTTGAAAATACTGGTTCTGTTTTGTATTGCACTAGCATGTTAACGAATTTAAACAATACACATCAGCAAATTCCAAAAGTTCAACGGGGGGGGGGCACCCAGTTACATTTATTCACTCTGAAGGGATACCTTCACTTTGCTGTCCTTGTCTCGTTATAATCATAGTTAAATGGTGTTGAATTTTGTCAGGTTTCCATTTCTCAACTGATAGGGAAAGAAAGGTGCCCTGAAAGTTGTGAAGAGCCCAGAACAGTGGTTTGAAATCTATTTGTGGATGATGTGGTATATGCTGTCTGTGGTGTTGAGGGCGGACGGATGAGACAGTCCAAAACCAGTCCACACCTTACACAAAGGTTGTTCTGTGCCACCTACTACAGTGGTACCTTGGTTCTCAAATTTAGTGTGTTCCAGAAGTCTGTTCCAAAACCAAGGCTTGCTTTCCCAGAGAAAGTAATGCAAAACAGATTAATCTGTCCCAGACTTTAAAAACAACAACCCCTAAAACAGCAATTTAACATGGGTTTTACTAACTAACGAGACCATTGATCCATAAAATGAAAGCAATAATCAATGTACTGTACTATAAAGTAAATAAGACAGTATTGTAGGTGATAAAAATTTAAATTATTATTTTTTCTTACCTGCACTGATGACAGTCATTGTTTGGATGGGGGGCTTTTATCCATTTCCGCAGTCACACAGTCAATCAATCAATCAGTAGCTGAACTGGGTTCCACACAGCCACAAAAACAAATTAACTGAAAAAGCCTCAAAAACAAAAACGCAAATTAAATAGCAAAAACAAAAGCGCCAAACTTAATCCATTCTGGAAGTCCATTTGACTTCCGAAATGTTCGAAAACCAAGGCGCAGCTTCTGATTAGTGCAGGTGCCCTGGAAACAATAGCCGACAACCGCATTGGATGTTCGGCTTCTCAAAAACATTTGAAAACCAAAACACTTACTTCCGGGTTTTCAGTGTTTGAGAACCAAGGTGTTTGAGAACCAAGGCATTTGAGAACCAAGGTACCACTGTATCTATATAATGCAGTTGTTCAATAATAATAATAAAAATGGGGATACGCAATAGATTTCAATCACAGAACACAAATTGGTTGCAGCATTCCAAAGCGTGATTCACTTTATAAACTGGCACAAGCAGCAAAAAGGACTGCATTTATGAAGCTTAATTGTTATCGCTTGCAGTTTCTCTAAGGAGATTGGAGATGATATACATAGATCTTCTTCCATTTTATCACAACGATCCTGTGAGGTAGTTTAGGTAAAGGGGTGTTCACCAGTCCAAAGTCAGCCAGTGAGTTTCACAGCTGCGTAGCATTTGAACCAGTGTCTCTCCAGTACTAATCCAACACAGCAACCACAGCACTACACTTGACTATCTTTTAGTCTAATCCACCTCAGAAGGTTGTTGTGAGATTAAAGGAGACAAGAAAGGTTAAGTAGGTCACACAGTGACAGTTCTATGGAAATTCTTATAATACTAATACTGTTGATACCTTGCTTGTTAAATTTGTCATTTCTCTGCCATATACTCCAGTTTCTGAACAATCCATCAATTAATTAAAACACTTTCACATCACTCCTAAAAGTTGATTGCATTTTACCACACCACCCAGAGCCATTTAACTAACAAATACCCAAGTGTGATACAAATAGATAGTTTCCTATATCCAGCACTGATAGTTTATTGCCATTTCCTCATTCAAGTTTCTGACTGCAGTCAAAGGAACTTTGAGTGTGAAAGAGAATACCGCAGTGTTTTTACACCTATGTAAATGTATGCAAAAATTAATAAAAATCTACTTCCTCATGTACGCCTTGTAGGAGACACAACCAGATTTAAGCACTTGAGGCAATATGTCTATAACTATGAAGCGGACACAGCAAGCGGCGTAACAGGAACGGCAGATTCACACACTGGCTCCAAAATTCAGTGTAAGGTAAGAAGGAAGAAGGAACAATGCCAATTAGAAATATTTAAGAAAGACACATGAACAATGGCAAGGGTCTCTGTGGCAAAGTACATACAAATAGTACTGTGGTGAGTGGAGAGTTAGTATTTGGAGGTGAAGCCAATTGCTCCCCAAAATCTGCTTGGGAAGATGGCTGGCTGCAGTTATTGACTCTAGGCCTCGACTGCGTTTTTAGACAAAAACAAGCAGGTTATGTTCTTTGGTAACAAGCTTTATCTATTGGTAGAAGCCTGAGAATACTTCTGAATCTCTATTACATCAGTCTCTATTATTTATTTTCTTGACCCCAGGCCCTTGAATATCTAGCCCCTAACACCAGCCTCTCTCATTTCCACCATCTGGGAATGACAAGGTTGTCCATTTGATTTGGATTCTAAACCATTCCTGCTTATTTGCTAGTTTGTTTGCCCCGAGCCATCTGCATCATTTCTGCTGACCCTGCATAGCCATTCACCCGAAACTAAGAGAACATTATCACTGGTTAATAAGAATCCCTCAACCTGCAGTTAATTTACTTGGTTGCAGAAAATCTCGTGTCGGCTTATATCACACTCTTTCTGTTTCAGGTTGAGCTGGAAGTCCCGCAACTATGCAATTTCATCCTCAGGACAAGCCACTGCTCCCTCCGGGAGGTGTCTGGAATTGACCCTGAGGGAAGGCCTATACTGAAGAAGTCAAGGAACTTGGATAAGTTTGCTGCTGACATGTCCCAGTAAGAAAAACTGCCTTAAATTATATTTAATGAGCCCTAAGAACACATTAAATGATATTTAATGAGCCCTAAGACATGGGTGGTGCTGTGGGTTAAACCACAGAGCCTAGGACTTGCCGATCGGAAGGCTGGCAGTTCAAATCCCCGTGACAGGGTGAGTTCCCATTGCTCGGTCCCAGCTTCTACCAACCTAGCAGTTCGAAAGCCCGTCAAAGTGCAAGTAGATAAATAGGTACCACTCTGGCGGGAAGGTAAACAGCATTTCCATGCACTACTCTGGTTCGCCAGAAGCAGCTTAGTCATGCTGGCCACATGACCTGGAAGTTGTACACCGGCTCCCTCGGCCAATAAAGCGAGATGAGTGCCTCAACCCCAGAGTCGGCCATGACTGGACCTAATGGTCAGGGGTCCCTTAACCTTTAAGAGCACATAAATAGAGTCCTGGTGATAATGGCCAAAGGCCTATCTTCTCCAACTTCCTGTTTTCATGGTGGCCAACAAGATGCCTGGAGGAAGTCCACAAGCTGGACACGAGCATGACAGCCCTCTATCTACTTGTTAGCCTAACAAGTATTATTCAGAGGCCATAGTTCTTGTAATTTCTGCCATCTGTCGAGAATGATAGCAGCTCAAGATGCAACTAGAGAGTGAATTGTTAATTTTAAAACACAAGATACTGGAGCAAATCTAAATTCTCACCTCATAGTTGTCTCTTTAGGATTTTTGAAATCATATTTTTGGACACAATCACAGAGCTGTGAGGAGGGGAGAGGAAATGGAATGGAGTAGAACAGAGTGTCCTAAGGTGCCACCACAATTGAAAAGAATATTGACAAGCTGGAACATCTGCATTTCTTCCCCTAAATGTTGTTTTTATTTGTTTTGCACAGGTATGCGCTGAAGTTCAGTGTTCAAGATGGGAAGAATTTCCAGCTGTACCCTGAGGACAATGAACCTATGCACATACTCAACATCAAGAGAGGAATCATCTCGGCTCTCATGGTGCCCATGGAGACAGACGCCAATTCCCAAACACTCTCTATGGTAAGTTGCATAGTCATCCATCACTTTATTTTCCTTTCATCTATGTAGTGAAACCTAGCTGAATGGCCAAGACGAAAGGACCTTCTCCAAATGGAAAAGCCAACCTTGGATCATCAGGGAAGTCTCTCAGTTAGGCTTCAAATGATGTTGGAGACGCAAACAATAGTGTATATTTTCTTCTCCTTAGGATACTGTATATGGAAAATGTGACAGCGACATTGAAATAAGAAGCAGGAAAGGCAGCAACGCGGCAGACATTGCAGTCAGAAGGAACCTGAAATCCTGTGAAAACTTCAGCCCCATCAGAAATTATGTCAGCCCACTTGCCCTCGTTAAAGGCTTGGTAAGGAGCATGAAATGAGAATTAGACTAGCCTGTATTTCTGATACTACCAGCCTCCGGATATTATTATCATCACAGGCAAAGCTTGACTTCCATCTTATCAATATACTGGAAACCAGTCTTTCCCAACCTAGAGTGGTAAAACAATTTTATTATATGACCAAGATTCACAATGCGAGAAGCATGTTTGTAAGTTACCAATAACTCTCCCTCAGGCTGGATATTAAATTAAAAAGAAAAGAAGGAAAGTATTTTTATGATGTTAAATCCACTCTGTAGGTTGCTTCATTCTTAGGTAGGAGAAATGGCCCTCACCCAAATAATGAGGTGAGCCTAAGCCTTATGCAGAAAAACACAGGCTAAACTGAGGCATGATGGGGTGGGGGCAAGGCGGAGAAGAAATAGAGGCCCTCCATTTGGAAAAAGAAAATCCAACCATTAGATGATTCCGCCTCTGGAATTAGATTGTGCATGTGTTATTGTAACCTGGGCATTTGTAAAGTGTTAACTTATTACATCGTGCATTTAATTGCTTGGCTAGCATGTTCCTGCCATGCAATGAGGAACATTTTTACCTGATCAGAGACGCACCTGATCAGAAATACAGGGAAGCAGATAAGTGGCCAGTCCCCCTTGCCACACTTAGCAGGCCAATATAGGTGACAGTACAGCCGGGGGCAAAAAAATGGCTGCAGTGCAATTTGTTTTGTTAGGTCGAACAGTAAGTTAACTCTGCCACCACTGTGTTTTGCAGAATACGCCAATGTCCACCCTGATAAGCAGCAAACAGCACTGTGAGTACACCATCGATGCAGCGAAGAAGCACGTAGCTGAGGCAACCTGCACGGAAGAGCACTTGTTCCTACCTTCGTCGTACAAGTAGGTTGCATGTCATGTCTCTCTTGACCCCTTTCAGAATGCATTACAAGAGTCTAGCCTGGGTGTAATCAAGGCAAGGTCCACTCTCTCTAGGTAGGGTTGCAGCATGCATTTAAATGTGTTTAAATTCTATTCTGGTTGGGAATAAGGACTGGGTATAAAAGCCAAAGGTGTACTGGGAGAAAACTGGGTAATCTTGCCCGTTGCTTGCCTTAGTATCTGGGACTTGACACTGCCTGTAAGAAGATACTGAGTCAGCTAGATTGTTTGTCTGCCCCAATAAGGGTGTTTATAGTGGCAGGATGCTCCCAGGCTCTCCTTGTGTCATAATAATGAGATTGCAAATGCTACGTAAGCATTTAAAGGGGTAACGGACCCTAAAAACCCTACAAGGACAGCCTCATGCAGTGGATTATGTATAACTTCTGGCTAAATAGGAATGGCAAAGGAGCCGTATGAATGAATTAAAGGGAGTGTACTGTGGGCCCTCCTCCCATACATACATACATAGGCTGTGGTTGAAACACGCATATTGTATACAACTTTGCATTTTGACTGTTCATTTGAAAATGTTTCTTTCCCCCCTTATTGCCCACTAGACAACAGTATGGCATGATGTCCAAAGTCAAACAGTTTCTGAAACTTGAAAACACCGTCCAAACCAACAACAGAGACATAGATGGTAAGGCTTTAAGAAATCGCTCTCGGATTGATCTGTTTCCTACAGGGCTTATGTAATGCAAGGAATTTTAAGTGTTCAAACTCACAAATGTAGAGAAAGGCTAAGCACCGGCTACATGCAATTTCCCAATATATAAAGAAAAAAGGAGAAACCTATGGCATTATTTTTTTGAGGGTGTCCCAGAAATGCAAACATACAGCATCCTTCTGATAACCTGCATTTCTTGGGATATGATTTACAAACTGTTCAAAAAACTGTTCAAATATACTTCCCCCCTCCAAAAAAACAAAAAACAAAACCAGAAGCCTTTTTGCTGGGGTTGATAGGAGATGAAATAAAAAAAGCAGATCAGAGATTATTCATGTATGCTACAACTGCTGCCAGAATCTTAGTAGCCCCAAAATGGAAAACTCAGGAAATACCAACATTAATGGAGTGGAAGACAAAAATGGTTGAATATGTGGAATTCGCAAAACTGACCCACAGAATCCGTAACCAAGAGGAAACACAGTTCAGAAGTGAATGGAGTAAATTTGTGGAGTATATACGTAATAATTGCAGAAGTTTAAAGACTGTAGTAGGATTAAAATAAATCTTATGACATGGACAGGAGGATGTTAAGAATCTGTGGAAAAAGGAAAGATCAATATGAAAACCTCTGAAGAGATGGAGGGAAGTCCGTGCTCTATAGAGAGTTGAAAAATAAGTGTACATAAGATTGTAGAACATTAGTGTATTTATTTTGTTTTGTTTGTGTTAAAGAAAACTCAATGAAAAGCGTTTTTTAAAAAAGATAACATGCATTTCTTTATAGTCCATGGCCTGGTAAAGAGAGGCTTGTCCTCGGAGAGTGTGGAGGCCAAATCCCACAGGCATGGCGATGCTGTTCTGAGAGTCCTTCAAGAACTGCAGAAACTGTCCATCTCCCAGCAGAACCAAAAAAGAGCCAGTCTCTTCTACAGATTTGTGACCGGACTGAGAGGCTTACACAATGCTACCCTGGGTCCTCTGGTGCCAAAGATGATGGAAACTTCCAGGTATTTTATCAACAGGAACTGAGTAAATATGGAAGAAGTCACAGTGAAAGCAGCTCACTGGTTGTTTGGTCAAAATCTTTGTTGCAATAGTCCACTGTTCAGGTGTTGCAATGGGAAGACAGAAGTCGAGAGTATGCACCATGGAAAAGTGTGGGAGAAAGAATATTGGCCAACATGGTTTTGCAGAGGTCCCAAGGACAACAATTAAACATTTACCTTCCATCCGATAGTCTAATTTACTCATTGTCCTATTCGTTGGCAAAATCTATTCGTTAGCAGCTATACACCCATGATCCAGAACGAAACCTTTCTTCTCGGTATCAAAATTCGAGAGGCCACTGAGTTCATGACACAGGTGAAAATAAAATCAGGGACTTTCTGATTTGGGTCAGATACCACTTATAAAGCATCTTTAATATATTCTCCTTAATCAAATAGCAAGCCGAAAAAATTATCATTCTATTCCATAACTTCTCCCAAGCCGAGAATTTAATATTATGTCCAATATCTTGATGCCCAGTGTATAATCACAGCCTTAGCTAGCTCATCTTTAGTTTCCCATTCTAACAAGATTTTATATACTTTAGATTTTTTTTGTTATTCCCCAATATGGTTTCTTTTTTCAAATTCAGACCCACCCCCCTTCGATACATCCTCTCTCTTTGTCCATCCCAAAAATCTCATTCACTTGAAAACACTGAAACCAATCTGTAACTATTCTTCCCCCTTTAAAAGTCTTATAATTAATTTAAAAGTCTTCAAATTCAAGGAGATCTTTGGATGTTCCCCAATTCCCTCCCCCCATGTTTAATTTTTTAACTGCCTCCATTGGAATAGCCAAACATGGGGGGTCTTCCTTTCTCAAAGTTCTTTATATCTTGCCCAAACATTATAGAGGCTCTTCCTGATCACATGATTGAAGACTCCCTTGTTCACTTTAGTCTTATCATAGTACAGGTAGCTATGCCATCCAAAAGCTCTGCTGTATCTTTCTAAGTACAAAATTCCTGCATCTTTCAATTCTACCCAGTCCTTCACCCATCCCAAACATGCTGCCTCCACCAAACCCCATTTCCATTAGGCTGGGGAGGGTTGGTTGGAGGCAAAGTGTCACACAACATCTTCTGTGTTATGATAATTTAGTACGTGTACACACATGGCCATTATTTTTCATTTATCGGCACATTTCTATAGAGTGGTGGGTACATATAAAAGTTAACAGGAGCAGAAGTATGAGAAATAACAATAAATGGCTGTGTATGGATGACGTAACGATGGTGCCATGATGGTGTCAAATCCTTTACATCGGGTTTGAAATTTGTTGGTTTGTTTCCCTTCAGTTCGATCACAATACAGGCTCTGACTCAGTGCGGTACCCCAGAGTGCTTTGGTGCGATCCTCCAAGTCCTGCGGACAGGCAACGTCGATTCACTTGTACTGGATGCCGTCACATACAGCCTGGCGCTGCTGCCTTCACCCTGCACGAAAAGGATACGGGAGATCCTCAACACGGCCCAGTATCGCCCAAGCCGAGCTTCTTTTTATGCCTTGAGTCACACCGTCAACAGGTATGTGGCGACTGGGTGCGTTTTTGACCTGAAATTGATTTTTTAAGGAATATAATGTGGTTACAGCATTGTGTAAAAGACCTTTAGCCAACTAGCTGGTTGGTAAATGTAAAGGTACCCCTGACCGTTAGGTCCAGTCGTGGACGACTCTGGGGTTGCGCTCTCATCTTGCTCTATAGGCCGAGGGAGCTGGCATTTGTCCACAGACAGCTTCCAGCTCATGTGGCCAGCATGACTAAGCCGCTTCTAGTGAACCAGAGCAGCACACAGAAATGCCATTTACCTTCCCGCCAGAGTGGTACCTATTTATCTACTTGCACTGTGACATGCTTTCGAACTGCTAAGTGGGCAGGATCTGGGACCGAACAACGGGAGCTCACCCTGTCACAGGGATTTGAACTGCCGACCTTCTGATCGGCAAGCCCTAGACTCTGGTTTAGACCACAGCGCCACCCGCGTCCCTACTAGCTGGTTGACAGCAGTGCTATTGTCAGGGACCGTGCTGAGGAGGGCTGTACTGAGGAGGAATGGTGGGAGCCTCCCCCTCCCCCTGCTCCGGATCCGGATCCTGAATCTTCCCAGGAGCAGGAGGACAGAATAGATTGGAACAGTGGTTTGCAGAGGGACATAGTTCAGAAAGCAGAAGCTGGGAAATACTGGATTGGAAACAGCCAAGAGAAGACGCACACAGAGAGAGAGAGTTTACAGATTCACTGTCTCTGGAAAGCATTCATCCGCTCTCCCCAAGATCAAGAAGAGCTGAGAAAGTGGCAGAACAGAAAGCACAGAGGGTACAAACTCAGGTTAAAAGACGTAGGCATGGCATGGGTGACTAGGGACGTAACGGGGTGTGATCCTTAATTGGGAGCACCGCCATTCCTAGGAAATGGGTTCTTTGTTCTCTCGCTGTGATCATTAGAGTTTCTAACTGGTAAAAAGACTCCTTTTCCTTTGTTCTGCTTATCTACTGCCAAGGCGGGGGTGGGGTTTGCAATGGCTTTTCCTTGTTTTTTTGTTTTTTTTTGAGGGGGGGTATTTATCCCTTTCCCCTTGCAGTCAATGGAATGGAATACACCAGCTCCATAATCACTCACTGTGTAAAAATAAAGAATATGTGCTTTTCCCATGAAAGCTATTGTTCCTATGCAAGTTTCAGTGTATAGGTTGAATTGATTAATTTTACTGAATTACTGATAGGCTGTCAGCCATATAAATACAGTTTGTATTTAATAGCACATATTTAACCAGAAGAAGAAGAAAAATAATAATTGTGATCTACAAAATCAGGGAGAAATCTGAGGCTTCAGTGTTATGTTAGATACACCTCCCGTCATTTCTGGTCACGATGGAGTCTAATGGCATCAACAGGCTCTATGTTTAAGTAGGCAAAATGCAAGTCCATTGTAGAAAAAGATATCTAAATGTGGGAAGTTTCTTTTTTCTTCTGGGGGAAAAAATGCATTTTGTTAAGGTTTGCAATTAACGTCTTAGCACCTAATTTCTCCATACAGCTTTAAAAATCTTTGATACAATTTCCCTTTCTTCCAGATTCTATGATAGCAACAGGATAGTGACAGAAGAAATAAATGATGTTGCTAATTTTATGGTGTCACAGATCAGCAACGAATGCTCTGGAGATGAGGAACTCACCTACCTGACCCTGAGGGTATGTTTTTGTATTTTAGTTTAAAAATGCATCATTTGCCCTTGTCTGAATGCTAATATTCCCTGGCTGGGAGAGGGAAGCCCGTATATTCAACTCTCTTTTTTTATGTGATCCACAGGCCATTGGTAATATGGGAAAAGTGATAGAAGATGCCAATCCCAATGTGAAACAGTCTCTGAAAATGTGTATTAGAAGTAATGTAGCATCACCTGCAGTCCAGAAAGCAGCCATTCAGGCACTGAGAAAAATGAGCATCACTGCTGAGGTAAACATAATGTATTGCATGTTCCCTGCCCTTCCATAAAATTATGCTTTAAGCAATCAAACAAATCACATTTTGTTTCTTAGTAACTGTGCAGACCTTGTGTAAATTAGGACTAGTGGAATAATTATTATTATTATTATTATTATTATTATTATTATTATTATTACTACTACTACTACTACTACTATTATTACAGTGGTACCTCTGGTTACAAACATAATTTGTTCCGGAGGTCCGTTCTTAACCTGAAACCGTTCTTAACCTGAGGTACCACTTTAGCTAATGGGGCCTCATGCTGCCGCCGTGTGATTTCTGTTCTCACCCTGAGGTCAAGTTCTTAACCCGAGGTACACTCCTACTTAAAAGCAGGAAGCTCATTGAATCACACTGGTGATCATATTGAAGATAACCTTTACAGCTGTGATCGACCTCAAACAGCGCCACTCATTATTAAAATAAACATTGTGTATGGAAACGAGGAGAACTGAAACTCAAATGCTTCCTAAACCAGAAGTCAAACCATGTCTAGTTGCCATTTTTTTGGTCTTTAACTTTACTTTGTTCATCTTGTTACAGGACCAAGGGGTTCTAGTCAAGGTCTTCCAGGAGGCTTCTTCACCAGTTGAGAAGCGTCTGGCAGCTTATCTCATGCTGATGAGAAACCCTTCCTCATCTGACATTTCCAAGGTCATTAAAAGTCTTCAAAAGGACAAGAATGAACAAGTGAAAAGCTTTGTAGCCTCCCACATTGCCAACATCTTAGACTCGACAGACCCTTACACTGAATTGTAAGTAATTGTTTTAAAATCTGTGCATGTAGCTTCAAATTTTTACCTACGATTAATGGAATAATCGTATTAAATCAGGAGTCCATAAGGTAGATATTTACATAGGCTGGTAAGAGCTAGCTTCTTCATCTTGGGGGACCAGGCTATCCCTGCAGGGCTTTTTTCCAGCTAGAGCTCACTGGAGCTCAGCTCTGGCACCTCTCAGGTGGGCGCCATTGCCATGACCCATGAAATTAAGAGACTCATGCTCTACCAACTGAGCTATAGGTTTATAAGAGAACAATGGAGGAGTTCGTGGTGAGTTCCGGCACTTCTTTTCCTAGAAAAATAGCACTTCTAAGGTGTGTATGAAGGCTAGAGTGCCCCCCTCTCCAGCCATGTTGTAATCAAAGGGATAATGGCACAAATTGCTACACAATTTTTGTGGTCTGTGGTACTGCTGAATTAGAAGTGAATCAGCTATATTGGAAGAAGGAAGACTCTCACTAAATTTCAAGTAAGGGGACCAGATTGGGCTAGTGGGCTGCCATTTTAGCCTTTTTTGAACCATCACCAGAATTGCAATATAATTTGGCTCCCAGCACCAAAACCCCATTTTACATGTGGCAACATGTGACGGTGCTTTATATTTTGGGTCCTGTGAAGCTGACATTTCAAGCTCTTTGTGAGATTCCCATTAGTCCCATTGGTTTTTGCTGAGGTCAGGCACCAGAACTCTAAGCCACTAAGTATAATGTTCCTTAAAGAGATGTGAATAAAAAATATATTAAATGGCGTTTTTATGCCAAAAACCTACCATAGCTGAATTCTACCTGAATATTGTACAAAATATTGTATTAATAATTTTGCCGCTCTATTTTAATGTCATCAGGCTCAGAGGAAAAATTAATGAGGCCCTTAAAGGAGCCCAGGTTCCACCAGCCAAGGACTTCCGGAGATTTTCACAAAATTATCAGGCTTCCAAGACTCTGTCTCTGCCATGGACCAATGGTCCAATTTCAGGAAAACTGGAAGGAGACCTGCTGTTTGATTCAAGCAGCTATGTACCTAAGGAATCCATGCTAAGAACTACACTGCAGTTGACTGGACTGAATCCCATAGATGTGTTTGAGGTACAACAGTTTTCTTAGCATTTACTTCAGTCTGCTTGCTATTATTGACTTCAGCATATTAATGTATCTGTACAGTGGTACCTTGGTTTTCTAACGGAATGCGTTCGACTCCTGGAACCGTTCAGAAACCAAAGTGTGGCTTCTGATTGACTGCAGGAGCATCCTGCAGCCAATTGAAAGCCACGGAAGCCATGCTGGACGTTCAGCTTCCGAAAATCGTTCAAAAACCAGAACACTCACTTCCAGGTTTCAATCGTTCGGGAGCCAATTTGATTGGGAGCCAAGGCATTCGGCTCCCAAGGTACGACTGTATTATATTATGTGCTACTATTTTCTATACGATGCTTTTTCAGCCTTAAAGCAGTGTACAAAGGTTAAAAATTCAAAATAACAGCAACTTGATGAAATTAGAAATCATGTGCACACTTGCAAGATCTCAGCTATCAAAAGGTGCAAGAAATGGCAGGGCAATTGGAGCAAGAATAAAAATGAAAAAATATGGCCAATATGCATGATGGCCTATAGGTTTACCTGCAGTATGAAAGGCAGTATATCTCTGAATACAAATCACTGGGAGGAAACAGTGAAGGAGGACTATCACCCTCACAACCGCCTTTTGAGCTTCTCACATGCAGCAGATTGGTCAAGTAGAAGGCTAGATGCTGAATTAGATAGACTTTTGCTCTGACCCTTAGAAGAGAGCTGGTGGCTCCGTGGTCTAAACCACTAAGCCTCTTGGGCTTGCCAGTTGGAAGGTCGGCAGTTCGAATCCCCGTGACTGGGTGAGCTCCCATTGCTCTGTCCCTGTTCCTGCCAACCTAGCAGTTCGAAAGCACGCCAGTGCAAGTAGATAAATATGTACTGCAGTGGTGGGAAGGTAAATGGCATTTCAGTGCGCTCTGTCGTCTGTCACAGTCCTCCATGCGCCAGTAGCGGTTTAGTCATGCTGGCCACATGACCCAGAAAGCTGTCTGTGGACAAACGTCGGCTCCCTTGGCCTGAAAGTGAGATGAGCACTGCACCCCATAGTCGTCTTTGCCTGGACTTAACCGTTCAGGGGTCTGACCCAGCAAGGCTCCTCTTATGTCTTGCTAACATCTTGATATCAGAAGACAAGGCTCATGAATACAATGACCTAGCATAACAGCAGCACACAATTAGTGTTATGTCCGAAAACTCACAACTGAGGGGAAGTCAAGTTAAGTGACAGCATTACCCACAAGCTAGACCCTTGCTTGCTCATTCAACTTTTATGCATTTGCGGCTTGCCTGTAGAATTTCCCCCTTCCAATTACAGTAACTTGGAGTTCTCAAGTGGAAAAAAAAATACTCTTCTATTACTCACTCTGCCTTGTTTTATTTTTTCTCATTTCCATCAGATCGGCTTGGATGGGAAAAGCTTTGAGCCAACACTAGAAGCCATGTTCGGACCGAATGGGTTTTTCCCTGACAGTGCCACAAAAGCTTTGTATTGGGTAGATGGCAAGGTGCCAGATGAAGTTTCTCAAGTGCTTTTCAAATATTTTGGGTACTCCAAGGATGGAGCACAAGATCAGGTATACCACAGTTTTCTAGATGAAATGGTGCTGTTGGCTTTTTAAAACAAACCCTTCAACCCTGTAGCAATGTTTGAATAAGTTTTGTGGGGTACAGTGGTTGAAAACCACATTTTATCCTAAGGCTGTACAGTGGACCCTCTGGATTCGAATTTAATTCATTCCAGGGGTCCGTGCGCACCCTGAAAAATCCGTATCCAGAGGCACCGCTTCTGCACATGCACGAGCAGTGAAACCCGGAAAATTACTTCTGGGTTTGCCGCTTTCGCAGTCCAAAGTTTATGTTACTCAAGAGTAACATAACTCAAGGTTCTACTGTACATGGAGCTGCTCTCAAAAATGAATGTGACAAGAAGCACCAAAAGTATACAGAAAAAACACACACAAAAATTTTTTTTAAGGAAATTTGTTTCCTGCTCAGAGTAAGAAATGTTGCCATCATATTGACGGCCATTTTGGGCAGAGATCCCTCTTTAAGATGAGATCATCCATTCCACACGGGCTTTGCTAGCCATCAGTACCTCGTGTGATCCTAGAGGGTTATGACAGTGGTTGATGTTTTACTTGTTGCCTTCTTTAAAACATTTTTCAGGATCCCATGAAAGGAATCATGCTTAATTTTGAGAAAATGATCAGAGAAATCACCTCCAAAGAAACACCTGAAGCCAGAGCCTACCTGAGAATGTTTGGGGAAGAGCTTGGCTACTTGAAACTCAGTGACTTCAAGCTACTTGGAAATCTAATTCGGAAAAGCCTCCTCTCGCTTCAGAGTGTGCCCGAGAAGGTATATTTTCAAAATGCGGAAAACCACCTTGTGCATGTTTCTGTCTCCTTCATTTAAAAGAGAACTTAACTCTTGGCCTCTCCTACTGAGGTCCTGGTGCAAAGTGGGGGGGCCTGGCCTGCTGTTTTCATTGGGACACAGACTACTATTGAATGGGAGCATTTCTTCCAAAGCATTGCACCCTCCAATGTATTCATCCAAATTGTGCTCCCCAACACACTATTATTTTTTTTTATTTATTTTTTTATTTTAAAACGACATTCATGGTGGGTGACATTCTTGGTGGGTGCCATTGTGGATTGGCATTTCCTCGTTTTCCATAATCCGACAGGGGGAGCCCCTTGGGCAGTTTCTCGGGGAAACAAAGGAGGTCCCTGGGCTGAGCTTGCTGCTGGAGAAGTAGATCCCACCTTCTCACTCAATCAGTTGTGAATGGGCATGGGGACGGGCCATTCCTAGGGGGTGGGTTCAGGTATATAATGAAGGCCTGTGGCTTGCACTTCTTCATTAAATCAGATGCTTGAAATAATTTCCCATACATCTTCGATGCATTATTATTATTATTATTATTATTATTATTATTTATTATTATTATTATTATTCAAAGGCTGTAGCAAAGTGTCACTTGGATGAATATCACAGGACACAGAGAGAATGATGATGATCATCTTTTCCCCCTATAATTTTTATTAAATTTTCTGTTTTACATTTTAGAATAGTCATTTAAAGAACCTTAAAATATCAATGACTTCTCTTCTGCTCTTTCCATGGTTCATTTTGCATGACATAAATCCCTGCATATTTTATATAAACTAAACCATTCAGTATTCAATTATTTCATGCATCAAAACTTATTTACACCGTTGAATTTATCTTAATGCTGCCCATGTTTTCAAATGTACACAATTCCCCCCATATATTCAATAAACATTTTCCAATATTCTTTAAACGTCTGTTCTTTGAAGAACGAAAAAGATGATCATCATCTTTATCATCACCGTCCTCCGAATTACTTTGGGAAAGTATGTGATAATCATTTAACAAATTATTTCATCTTTTTGCCCATAGATCGCCCAAGCCATCTCAGGGGGGATTGATAATGATCTCTTTGTTCACTACATCTTCATGGACAATGAATTTGAGTTGCCTACCGGTGCAGGATTGCCATTAAAGGTTGCTTTCTCTGGAGTAGCCACTCCTGGAGCCAAGGCTAAAGTGAAAATTTTACAGAGGACTGTGAGTCTTAGCTTGCTTACAACTTATTGTAGAAGCTGGCAAGTAACGCATGTGGTGTTCTGAGGCTGTTAAGCTAATACGCAGCAGTGCACCACTTTACAAGTGGTGCAATTTCCTGACTCCCCCCCCCATTGACCCCTTAGCTAAGGTTTTGGGAAGGGTGTGAGGGTGTAGTGTAGGGGTCAGAAAACTTTTTCAGCAGGGGGCCAGTCCACTGTCCCTCAGACCTTGTGGGGGGGCAGAATTTTTTTTTTTTTGGGGGGGGGGAGAATTCCTATGCTCCACAAATAACCCAGAGATGCATTTTAAATAAAAGCACACATTCTACTCATGTAAAAACACGCTGATTCCCGGACTGTCCGCGGGCCAGATTTCGAAGGCGATTGGGCCAGATCTGGCCCCCGGGTCTTAGTTTGCCTACCCATGGTGTAGTAATTTAGATAAAACTGGGGGGGGGGGGAGGTCAGGTCTTGCGGATTTCATCAGATATGCTCATCTCCCCACTGCCCTGCCAAGAATTCAAGGCCTGTTACAAAGTTATAAAACATTACTTTAGACTGGAATGACAATAAGGATGCAGGTGGGCATTCAGACTTAAATTTATGCAAGAGTTGAGCCTCAAGCTAAATTATTTGTGTGTGTGTGGTTACCTTAGTTGCAATTCTACATATGAGGATTCACAGCTGCAAGTCAAACTGCAGAACACAGTTTGTGAGACAAGCCACACACCCCGTCTGAGACTCGGGAGTTGCCCATCAGGGTAGATAATACTGGGCTGGAGAAGCCAATGATCTGGTTCCGTTTAAGGCTCCCTTGGCTGCAGGGAGGGCACCAACTTGGATTGCTTTGAAAGAGGATTTTATGGAAGATATGGCTATTAATGGCTACTAACCATGATGATTCTGCTCTGTCTCCACATTCTTCTGAATACCAGTTGCAGAAAACCACAGGGTGGGAGAGTGCAACTGGAGTTCTATTGTGTACATAGCGCTCAAGTTCCCTCAAAGACTTTATTGGAATGGACCACACAGCGTCCTTTTGCATCTTGCAGAGCTGACCTAGTAGAGCAGTGGTTCTCAACCTTCGGTCCCCAGATGTTTTTGGCCTACATCTCCCATGATCCCTAGTTCACAGGACCAGTGGTCAGGGATGATGGGAGTTGTAGGCCAGAAACATCTGGGGACCCAAGGTTGAGAAAGGCTGTAGTAGAGAATGATACACAGGGGTTCTTGAAATGTCATCAGAAAGCTGTGTTCCGAACATGTTGATGAACAGATCATATCCACACATCCTCTGGGCGTGTGGTTCCGGGCTCTATGAACACAACTGGCTGAAAAGCCATCCATCTGTGGGGAAGCCTATGTACAGAAGTAGCATGGCATGGCAAAATCAATTTGATAGCCTGTCCCCATCCTCCAGTGCATTGCTGGTTTGGCATTGCGCCCGAGGAGCCAAAGTTTATTTTCTAACCGACCAGTTAGGAGAATGCACTGCCAATCTGCCCATCACCAGGAATAGAAAGGGATTGTTCTCCTATTTACCGTATCAAAAAGAAAACTCCTGTGATAGAAATAAATATTTTTTGTATTTTGTGTCCACCCTCTAGATACAAGCAGAACTGGTTGCAAAACCATCCGTGGCAGTTGAATTTGTGACTCACATAGGAGTGAACATCCCTGTGTTTGCTAGAAACGGCGTGCAGATGAACACCAACATATACCATGAGTCCGGAATCGAAGCCCACGTCGGACTGAAAGCTGGGCAGCTGAAGGTCAGCATTCCTGCACCAAAGACTCCAACCAAGCTCCTCAGTATCAGGTACTGTTGGAGGGATTTGAGTTCTGTGAGCATCTCTGCTATTGCCCTCGAACTGTAAAATATGTGCTTCCTTTTCCACGATCACGAGAAAGGTAACTGGTGGGTAGGCTTGCTATGCAATGCCCAGCAACCATTGCTACAGTTGTCAAGGCTCTTTTTCAAGCTGCGGCCTTCACAAAACCAGCTCCTGGCTGTAAGCATTATCCACTGGTTCAGACATTGTCTTTCTCTGCATGGGAGTATTCCCAAGGCGAAATGCATTACGTGAATCAGTTTAAATATTAGGGTATCTGCCGTGTAATGAACATTTCTAGTACTTTTAAATTTCTCTGGTGCTAAAGCTAAATAGTTGGGGCAGTTTGCAGTTTAGGGATGAGATGAGAAGGTGCTTTGAGATCCCATAATAAGCCTGCAATCCTATGCCTACTTAAGGTGGGAGTAAGCCCTACCGAAATCCCTTTCCTCTGCACAGACACATACAGGTTTGCACTGTGAAAGTTATTGGGGGTTTTTTTGGTAAATAATAAGAATAATTTGTGGTTCGAGGACCCGTACCCCGTGCAGTGGAATGAAACACAAGGACACGTGATATAATGTTAATGGGCAAGAAAACTCGGGACAACGAAAAGTGAGGGCTGGAGGCTGGCGCTGCAGCAATTTAGGTTGCTGTACACGCCCCCCCCCCTTGAAGGCACCTGGTTGGGTGCCTGGCCGAGGGCGTGGGTGCCAGCCAGGTGAGTGGGAGGCAGGGGGCAAACGCCCCCTGCTTGAGCCGGAGTCCGGCTCTCGGCCACAACCACTCCCCTCTCTTGCAGGGAGGAGAGTCTTCGCTTATCAGGTGCATTGCTACAGATTTCTGGTTAAATCCAAATGAGCAATATTCACAGGCTCTTCTTTTCACCCACTGCCTAATCCTAGACCATGAAATAAACATTCCATTTTCTTTTGAAGCAACGTCTTGACCTTGGTCACCCCAACCCGAACAGAAGTGATTCCTCCTCTGATTGAGAACAGAGAGTCCCGGACAACTTGCGCATCTTTCTTTGCTGGTCTTAGTTACTGTACCCGAGTTGAATACTCCAATGCCAGCTCAACAGAGACAGCACCTTACTATCCACTCACTGGGGAAACCAGGTAAGTTGGTTCTCTGTACATATGCAACACATATGCCTTCTCTGCTGCCTCGGTCTCAGCCGGATCCTGCACCAAGTCAGATTCTGTGACTGTATAAAGCATGCAAATATTCATGTATCTGTTTCTTTCACATCGTTTATTCTGCTTCCAGGAGTTGTGGAAAGCTCTGTCTTTTGGCCAGCACCTCCCCTGTGGCTGTACAGGTTTCAGGCATCACACACACACACACACACACACACACACACACACTGAGGTTCCTCTTTACCTTCCCGAGGGCTAGAAAGAAAGAAAATGGATATTCTTAGCATATTAAGTTCCTTGTCCCACACTATATCTTATATTTGCATGATGAATTTTTAGAATACAGTGTCCTGACTACAGCTATGTTTATAGGTGTGTGTGTGTGTGTGTGTGTGTGTGTGTGTGACATCTTCTTTATTTCTGATTTTTTCCCAGAAGAAAGTATAATATATATGTGCAACTAACTAGTCCAGGCTTCCTCAAACTCGGCCCTCCAGATGTTTTTGGCCTACAACTCCCATGATCCCTAGCTAGCAGGACCAGTGGTCAGGGATGATGGGAACTGTAGTCTCAAAACATCTGGAGGGCTAAGTTTGAGGAAGCCTGAACTATTCTCTATGCTTATATGGCTACTATTTTGCTGACTCCTAGCATATTTTTGTAACATGGCCAGAGCCAATGCTAAGGAGTTTGCATATGAGGAGGTGATTCCATGGTGTTTTTTTGTATTGTGTCAAATACATCTTAATATTTTTTTGGGGGGGGGGGAACAAAACAAAACTCTTAGAGCTGAACTATTTGGCCCCAATACCTAATTAGTGAAGTGCTTTCCTCTAGTGAACTATGATTGTTTTTCTTTATTTACAATGACAGATGATATTTCCATTTTGACATCATTAGGTATGAAATTGAACTGCAGCCAACAGGGGAAGTAAAGGAATATATAGCAAGTGCTAATTATGAAGTAAACAAAGAGGAGGGGGACTTGGTTGACACCTTGAAATTCATGGCTCAAGCGGCAGGTAAGAGGCTGTGCAATTAGTGATGCATGTGAAAGTTACAAAGATTTGCAAAAGCGTCCAAGTCTCTTCACTGTCAAAATAAAATAAAATAAAATAAAAAATGTCTGTCCTAGCTCCCATGCTCCCATGCCAATAAATCACCTTGAAAGATCAGGAGGTCAATCTTCACCTGTTTTGATGAAATGAATATGTATAAAACAAGGTGAACTTGAGCTAGACGGCTCTTTCTAGGGTGACTCTCTCCAAGTGATGGTAGATTTAACACCTCAGATAGAACTTTGATATAAGCCATGTTCAGGGCTTTAAAGTTTGTGTCAGCTGTCAGTCATCAAGGATAGAGAGACCGAGTGTTGTACATTCATGAGTGATTTAGCCCAGAGATTGGTTAGAAGGTAAGGGTTGTTTTATAATTAAGAACCACAATCCAGAGAACCACTCAGTTGCTTAGCTGTTTTGGGAGGCCTAATATTTTCAGTTATCACAACTGCTTTACTACTACTACTACTACTACTACTACTACTAATAATAACAACAACAACAACAATAAATTATTATTTATACCCTGCCCATCTGGCTGGGTTTCCCCAGCCACTCTGGGCAGCTTCCAACTGAATATTAAAAACAATACCGCATCAGACATTAAAAACTTCCCTAAACAGGGCCGCCTTCAGTTGTCTTTTAAAAGTAAAATAGTTGTTTATTGCCTTGACATCTGATGGGAGGGCGTTCCACAGGGCAGGCGCCACTACCGAGAAGGCCCTCTGCCTGGTTCCCTGTAACCTCACTTCTTGCAGCGAGGGAACCACCGGAAGGCCCTCAGTGCTGGACCTCAGTGTGCAGGCTGGATGATGGGGGTGGAGATGCTCCTTCAGGTATACAGGACCGAGGCCATTTAGGGCTTTGAAGGTCAGCACCAACATTTTGAATTGTGCTCAGAAACGTACATAGCAATCTATGTTAATTCTGTTTGCAAACTATTTGTTGTCGCTGCTTCTTTCAGGTGCAAAACAATGTGAAGCCACACTGATCTTCAGGTACAATCGAGGCAAAAAGATTTTTACCAGTGACCTCCAGGTTCCCAGTTTCAGCGTTGATTTGGGTACCAACTTCAGACTTACTGACTATTCCACTCAGGAGAGGACCGCTTACAGCTTTATCTTAGACATCAACAACAAGAAAATTCCTGAAGTTACTCTTACGGGACGCATAGGGTAAGCCACAAGCTTTTCTCATTTTTGCAGATATTGCAGTGTTAGTCGGAGATAGTTAGACTTCTGCCCCTCTGGAATTTCTAAGGGTAGATTTTTGCTAAGCCAGGAGTCTTTTCGTTGTGTGTTTTTCCAGATACAGCGCTGGGACAGAGTCAGCAGTGGAAGCTTCCATCTCCATTCCTCGCCTGAGGACACAAGCAAAAACAGATGTATTACTGCAACAGTCGCAGAATGGGCTGACATTCCAGATTGACAGTTCAGCAACAAGTCACGGCTCCTCAATTTCGGAGAGAATTGTCTTGGGATACGGTAGGATCATGTGTCAATGCAAAACACCTTCTCTGCCACCAATATGTGGTGAAGGATCAGAATTCCACTTATCACATTCCAAACCTTGGGACCCTTTAGTATCCACCCACACAGGGCCAGCCTTATGCAGAGTGAGACAGCTGCCTCAGGTGTTGAGGGGGAGGGGAAGCAGCCAGAAGCACAAGTGACATGTGGCCTGCCCTGTACCCACTACACAAGCCTACTGCCCTCAGGTACAATGGAAGACACTGTCCTTTCACAAGAGTAAGATTCAACTACCGGTCCAATTGGCCTCTGTATGTGCCTTGGCAGAAAGGGCCATCTTGTCTGTTGCCTCGGGCAGTAAAATGATTTGAGCCGGCCCTGAATCAACAAGGCTACACAATTGCATAGCCATGTATGTGATTTCTCTTTGGAAGAGCCCAAACCATGCAGGCCTGAATTGCACATCCTGTATGCCGTAAAATCGCTTTGCTCAGCGGTAGAGCTGCTGCTTTCCTTGCAAAAAGACCACTTCCTGGCATGTCCAACTAGGGCTTAGAAACACGTCTATATGGGACCCTGGGCAGTTGCCTCCTGCCAATATGGACCATGTTGAATTAGATGAACCAATGACCAGTCTCACTGTAAGGCAGTCTGGGTCTTTATGGCTTGGGTTCCGTACAAGTCCCTCCACCAAATGTCAGTGGAGGGTTTTGGTGTTGGTTTTTTCCAACTTTGCAAACTGGACTCCATGGGAAACAATAAGGTGACATTTGTCATTCTGCCTTAGATAATGAGAAGATCGAAGTGCAGTGGAAATCAGGCCAGAGTGCAGCCCTGAAGAAAATGTCAGCCATGCTACCCGTAGACTTTGCAGATTATTCAAAGACTTTGCAGAAGCATGCCAACGATCTCTTGGACCACCGAGTAGCCAATACAGATATGACAGTCCGGCATATTTTTTCAAACTTTATAGTAGTAAGTGGAGTTATTTGTCATAGAACATACTTTTCATGTGGCTCTGAATCATGCTGATAAGAGATGTAGGTGATTCCAGTGAGAACTACCTATGAGTACATGATTAATTAGTTTGGGAGAAGCAAAGACCAGGTAAGAAAAAAGATCCAGTAATTTCAAATGCTCGGAAAGCATGAAGGCATCAAGTTCTGTTCCAACCTGCATTCAATCAGTGCTGTTTCTGTTCTGCTGCAGTTTGGTTTCCACCAAATACTACATTATTTGTTTCACTATCTGGTATTTTTACGTAAGTTATTTATGCAACATAAGTTCATTTCAGTGTAAAGGAAATGTCGGAACGATGTAAAAAGAGGCATCAATTAGGAATCATTTGAGAACTTAAAAAACAACAACGATATGAACAAGTGCCAGTCATATTGGCTTGACCGATTTCCATTCTTGACCACAGATGGACCAGCAAACTACTGAGATTTTGTCAGAGTTCTCTAGTAACCCTAGCAAAGACCCAGGGGCATGTAACTCTAGTAGCGTTGGGATCTCTGCAGCACAGCTCTTTACTGTGCCTCCAAGTTACAGAAAGTCAGGGAGAACATGCCACAGCTCTTCCCCATGCCAAGGGCATCTCAATTTTTTGAGGCACTGGTGTGAGGAGAACAGCAATACAAGCCCTTCGCATGTGCTTCAAGGGTTCTCCCATGATGTAAAGCAGTACAGGCAAGCCCCCATTTACACGTGTTCAATATATGTGTGGCCACGCACACGCACGTCACGCCAAACCTGGAAGCGACACCCAAAGTCACAAAAACATCACCAAAAGGGACGGAATGGGGCGGGGTGGAATGGGGTGCCTGAAGGCTTTCCCAATGGTGTTTCAAATAAGTGCAATTTCATTGATGCGTGCGGTGCCTCAGAACGTAACCCTCGTGTAAATCGGGGTTTGTGTGTGTGTGTTTGCCTGTATGTTTGGGTGTGTGTGTGTGTGATGCTACTACTGCAGCAGCTCTAACACCACCAAGATGTGGGGCTAGAACAGGGGTGGGCAAACTTTTTCAGCAGGGGGCCGGTCCGCTGTCCCTCAGACCTTGTGGGGGGCCGGACTATATTTTGAAGGGGGAAAATGAACAAATTCCCACAAATTATGTATTTTAAATAAAAGGACACAGCATTCTATGCAAGAGCACCGGGCAGGCCCCACAAATAACCCAGAGAGGCATTTTTAAATAAAAAGACACATTCCACTCAGATAAGCCACACCCCCCCCCCGATGAGCCCCAGTGGCTGCTTACCCGTGTCTTGTGAGCAGCAGGGGCTGGCAGCAGCGGGACGATGAGCGGTGCACGAAAGGGCTCCAGAGAGGGGCTGGCAGCAACAAAGACCGGATTGAGCATGCTTACAATGGTAGCCGCTGAAGCCCTAACGCTGCTGCTGCTGCTGTCACCAACAAAGCCCAGCCCCCTTCCTCTTGGCTCTAGGCAGGGCGAGGAGAAGCCAGGAGGAGGGAGGGAGGGAGGATGCGCCGCCGAACGTGTGTGCGCTGGTACAGCCCGAACGATCAGATCCACGCTGATCCATGCAGTGATTCCCAGACCGTCCACGGGCCAGATCCAGAAGGCAACTGGGCTGGATCTGGCCCCCAGGCCTTAGTTTGCTGACCCATGGGCTAGAATGTGACTGCTTGCATTGTGTTTCAGTACTAGGGGTACTAGGCAGGTGGGTTAGGGTGGGTCAGGGTACCTACGGGACTGCCTCTCCTGGTATACCTCTGGGAGGACCTTAAGGTCCACAAATGACAACATTTTGGAGGTCCCAGGTTGCAAGGTGGTTAGATTGGTCTCAACTAGGGCCTTTTCAGTACTGGCCCCGACTTGGTAGAACGCTCTGTCACAAGAGACTAGGGCCCTGCGGGACTTGACATCTTTCAGCAGGGCCTGCAAGACAGAGCTGTTCTGCCTGGCCTTTGGTTTGGACTCAGTCTGACCCTTATGTTTCCCTCTCCTTATGGTTTTGATCTATGGGCTACTTTTAAAATGAGGCTGTATTTTAAATTGCATTTTAACCTGTATTTTAAATTGGTCCCCCCTCCCCGTTTATTTATACCCTGGGGAGGGCGGGGTATAAATAAATTTTATTATTATTATTATTATTATTATTATTATTATTATTATTTGCTCATTTCAACTTTTCTGATCACAAGGCTCTTTGTCGCTTGATATTTTACTCTGATCTTGCAGGCAACCAATACCTGGTTACAGCAGGCATCCAAGAACATTCCTTATGCGAAAAATCTACAGGATAAATTAAGCGGACTCCAGGAGCTCAATTTTCAGAACATGGAACTTTTTGCCATCCCAGAGGAGCTTTTCTTGAAAAGGTAAAGCGAAAGATGACATGTCTTATTTGGTGCTGACAAGGACCCTTTGTGGCCTTGAAGCCGAGCCTCATTAACTAAGGGCAAATTGTTCCTCCACAAGATACACTGGTGTAAGATGCAGTTTACGACAAATGCCTGAATCAGAACCATGTTTCTAGAAAAAATATTGCAACAGTGGTCACCCATTGTCTTGCGCTTTGATCGCTCTTGTCAGCTTTCTGCTAAAATTAGCACATTTAGTATAAGGGGAGTATAGAAGGGGAGTGCAGTCTGGAATTTGGGAAGGGACGATAGCTCAGGGCAGATAACATGCTTTTTATCTCAGGTTCAAGCCCTAACATCTCCAGTTACAATGATCCCAGATAGCACATTATAGGAAAGACTTTCTGACAGAGATCCCAGAGAGTATTGGTTAAATTATTTATTTATTTTATTTTATAAAAATTCAGATTTACACTACATATTTGAATTCAAACATTAAACATAATCATTAACATTTAGGATTCCCCAAATCCTTTGACTTCCCTCCATCCTTCCATGGTTTCCATTTTCAATATTTTTCAACTGCATCATATATTTTCTCTGTTTTTCTTAAAATAATCCATTTTTACCGACGTCTATAGTACATTACGAGCGTTACTCAAACCCCGCCAAAGTTTTCAGATTGTTTACAGTGTTCTCTTAGGTAATTTGTCAGTTTCTCCCATTCCTTCTTAAAGCTCCTCTCTCCCTGCTTTCTGATTTTCCCGGTCATTTTCGCCATTTCAGCGTAGTCCATCATCTTCATCAGCCATTCATCTGTGGTTGGGACTTTATCTCCTTTCCAGTACCAGGCCACTGGTATCCGTGCTGCTGTCGCTGCATCCATGAATAATTGTTTCTGCTTCTTTGATATCTCTGCACCTAAAATTCCTAGTAAAAAAAGCTTCTGGTTAAACTTTTGTACCACCTTTCATCCGAAGATTTCAGGACAGTTTACAGGATAAAAATACAGGGGTGGATGAAGAAAAAACCCAACCTAGAATAGGGCAGCTTCCTAGGCAAAGTGCAACCATTTGTTATTTTGTGGACTTTGTGGGATCTTAATTCTGGGTAACTTTTTATTGCAGCGATGGCCAGATCAAATACATTTGGAACAAGGAGAGTACTGTCATTACCATTCCGCTGCCGTTTGGTGGCAGGTCATCCTACGACATGAGAGTGCCTAAGATTCTGGAAATGTCTCAAATGGCAATGCAGTCAATGGGAGGAAACATGGCTTCTCAAGAGTACAGGCTTCCTCGTTTCGCCATCCCAGAGTCATACACGCTTCGGGTGCCTTTGCTGGGCACTTTCGAGGTCTCTTCCAATATGTACAGCAATTATTACAACTGGTCAGGTTCCTACTCCTTGGCGAACACCACAAAGGATGTCTACAGCCTAAGAACAAACTACTTTGTGAGAGCTGACTCTGTTCTGGAACTACTTTCATATAATGTACAAGGTAAGAATCTCTTCTGGAGGTGGTGATGGAGATTATGAGCATATTACGTAATTAATCGTGTGTTGTGTTTTCTTGTCGGTTCAATACTTTTTACTAGAAATATGTCACAGGCTCATTTCTCTGTGCATCAAGAGTTAATATGATAAAATTAATAACTCATATTTGGCCAAGCCTCCTCTTGAGTTTGATAAAGCTCAAGCTCACAAGGCTCCTTGTGAATATATGATACCAGGGACTTACTCAATATTGTGACAGTTCATGCAAGGAATTATGGCAGCCTGATCATATTCCCCCATGTGCATTAATCTACCTAATTGGTTATACTAAACATGCAACACTATGAAGAAAAAAAGCCTATGCAATAGTCACATAGCAGTTTTGTTTTGCAAAGTTGTCCACAGTCTTCTTTCTGTTTGCATTTAGAACAATGTTGAGAGAAACGGGTCACTGTTATTCAGCTGGGGAACTGAGGCTGAGATGTCACACCCAAGGCTACTTAATGGCTGAGTTCTGATACTAACCCACAGCTTAATATTCCATAGATGAGTTTCGGTCTCAGGAGCTTCTGTCCAGCTGCAAAAATATCAGAAACTTATGCTTCTGTTTTCAACTGACTGTAATTTATTATGTACAAACCTAGAACTATGGTTTAGGAATGCGAGTGGCACTGTGGGTTAAACCACTGAGCTTAGGGCTTGCCGATCAGAAGGTCGGCAGTTCGAATCCCCGTGAAGGGGTGAGCTCCCGTTGCTCGGTCCCTGCTCCTGCCAACCTAGCAGTTCGAAAGCACCTCAAAGTGCAAGTAGATAAATTGGTACCGCTGTGGCGGGAAGGTAAATGACGTTTCCGTGCGCTGCTCTGGTTTCGTCAGAAGCGGCTTAGTCATGCTGGCCACATGACCCGGAAGCTGTACGCCAGCTCCCTTGGCCAATAAAGTGAGATGAGCGCCGCAACCCCAGAGTCGGCCACGACAGGACCTAATGGTCAGGGATCCCTTTACCTTTACCTAGAACTATGGTTTAAGGCAGTAATCCCAAACTTGGATCTCCAGCTGTTTGTTTTTTTTACTACAATTCCCATCATCCCTGACCACCGGTGTTGCTAGCTAGGGATGGTGGGAGTTGTAGTTCAAAAAGAACTGGAGACACAAGTTTGGGAAACACTGGTTTAAGGCCACAAGCTGTGATAAGAAACCACAGTCTGAACTTGGTTTATTTTCCTAAACCAATCAGTTTGCATACAACATAAAGTGTAATTAGGTGAAAATGAAAACAAAAGCTTTCAGTACCCTTAGGCCATGACACACGAGGGGAAGGGAGTGTTTGCAAGTCCAAGGCACATTCCTGTAAAGCTAAAATCTGTTTTAGTAGTATGTCCAAATGCAGCCAGTAAGAAAGGGGAAAGCTGGACCCAGGTATCCAGAATTCAAGTCCAGCCCATTATCCATTGTACCACACTTTAAGTCTGTATGTTGTTGTGGCCTTTCCCCTTCCTTTACATTAAAATCTTTTCATGAAAGTGCAAAAGAGACTCCGTTTGAAAAGCACAAGCATTTCTATATCATCAGCTTCCATTATCTAAAAACCAAACCAAGCCAAAAAAAACCCCCAAACAAACCTCTGGTGAGAAAGTAAATTGTACAGTTACTTCCATCAGTAAATTCTACAGTTGCTTCCATTGGTGGTGTCTACAGCCACAACCTAGTTAAACCTTAAATGCAAACTGAATGACAGTCTGGTTGCTAAATTGACAAACCCCACATATCATCTGTGTCTTAAAGGCTTCAATGGAATAATCCAAAACATGTCAGTACAGAAGTAAGCTATACCCAACTGAGCTCAATAAACCTTACTTTTAATGTAAGTCTTCATAGGATTGCAGGCTAAAATCCAAATGTTTGCTTTTAACTATGGTGGGCTTTAAGTTCCATTCAAGTCAATCCAACACACCTTTCCAAGTAAGTTCCATCAAAGTGGAACTTAACTTCTAGGTAAACATGCAGTAGTGTATATTTCTTGAATTTGACTTGCAGGACCTATGAATGTAGAAGGGTGTGCAGTATATTCCGGCAAGGCACAGTAGCTCAAGTTATTTAGTTGTTGTTGTTTAAAAAGTTGATTGTACTTTTCTCTTCTCTCTCCACCCCAGGTCAGGGAGAAGCAAGTTTTGATGGGAACAACATGGCTTGTAATTATGAAAGTTCACTGCAACACAAACTCCTTAATTCAAATTTTAAATTTAGCGAAACAGGCAATTTTGAACCCACTCCTGTGGCCAGGAGGACCCTCACACTGGTAACATCCAGCCCGCTGGGTACTCGGTTTTCCCTGTCTTATGCTGAAGATGCCGAAATGAGCAACAACTTGCTTCTTCAAAACATAAACGTGGAAGGACAACTGAATGTCGCTTCAGCCTTTGCTAAAACCACAGGCACACTGTCAAGCACCTTTGATGTGAACCAACTCGTTTGGGCAGGAGAATCCAATCTGAAGTTTGACTCTTCCTTGCTTCAGGCTACTAACCAGATGACTGCCAGGTTTACAGGTGGCCCATGGACAGTCAAGTCCATCTCGAATGTACAGAATGGTTTTCTGACTAACACGGCTTCCTTGAAGTATGAAAACAGCCAGCTGAAGTTTTCCTCTGAGACCGCTGGAAACCACAGAAGCTTTGCAGTTGCCAACAAGTTTGACTTCTCTGTGGACAGAAAGGGAGCTGCGCTTCGCTCCGAGTACCAGGCCAATTACGCAGAAAACCAATGCTATGCCCTGATTTCGAGCTCTGTTAACGGCCAAGGTGTCGAGCTGATTAGCCACATGTCTGGGAAAGGTGAAAGACTCAAAGCTGAGCACAAGTCTACATTAGGTGTTAACCTCGATGGCCTGGCAAGCACTGCAACAACAAACCTGCAGTTTAATCCATTGAAACTGGAGAACGAAATGAATGCCCGGATTGGCATCACTGGGGCTTCCATGAAGATCAACACAGGAGGACACTTTGGGAAACACAATGCAAAATTTGATTTGGATGGAAGAGTGGCTCCCACAGAAATCGTGCTTACAAGTGTATATCAAGGCAGCATTTTGGATGCAGACAGCAAGAACACCTTAACCTTCAGGGTGAACAAAGGCGGACTGAGGTTTGCAAACAGCTTGATTGGGTCATACAAAGGAATGAAGCTGGAAAACACTCATGACCTGAACATCGTGGGCTTGTCTTTGACTTACGCTTCCAATTTAGACCACACCATCAGTCTGGGCAAGTCCCACAAACACCACTTGGACTTCCAGCTGCAACCCTATTCTCTCACAGCCAACGTGAACAACGACTTGAAATTCGGCAGTGCTGATCTAAACAACAATGCACGGTTGCAACTTGAGCCCCTGAAGGTTAATCTGGATGGCAATGTGAAAGGTGCCTACAGTGGCGATGAAGTGAAGCATGCCTATACATTTACCTATGCAGATCTGGTGGCGCATGTTAAGACCGACACAGTAGCGAGCATTCGAGGTGCAGCTCTCACCCACAGAGTAAACTTGGATGTTGCAGGTCTCTCTTCGTCGGTCGTCATCAACACAAACTGTGACTCAAAATCCCTAACCTTTTCCAATGCAATACGATCTGTTGCAGCCCCATTTACTGTCACTGTTGACATGCATACAAATGGGGATGGAAGACTCTCAATCTTGGGAGAGCAGTCAGGACAGCTGTACAGCAAATTCCTGCTAAAAGTAGAACCCCTTGCTTTCTCACTTTCTCATGATTATCGGGGATCCACTGGCCACAACTTCAATTTTGAGAAAAGATACAAGACATTACTGGAGAACAAGGTCACTGCTCTTTTTACGCCATCTGAGCAAAGAAGTACATGGAAGATGAAGAGCCAGCTGAACAATAATGTGTACACTCAAGATTTTAGTGCTTTTAATGATGCAGAAACTATTGGGGTGGAGCTGGATGGGAAAACCTTAGCAGACCTTTCTGTACTGGACTTTCCTATAACTATACCATTCACAAACCGGGGGAGAGTCAATTTAATTGATGTTTTGGATTTAAGGGAAAATGTAGCCCAGACTCAAGAGTTTGGTCTTGCTCTTTCCGTGAAGTATGATAAGAATGAGAACATGCATGTCATCAATCTGCCCTTCTTGGAAAAGCTACCAGCTTACTATGAGCAAATGAGGCAGTCCATCCTAGCTGTACTCAAATCTATTCAGAAGAACCTAAAGGGTGTAAATATAGATCAGGTTGTGAGAAAATATAGGGCAGCATTAGATAAAATCCCCCAGCAGGTTAATAACTATGTGAAGACATTCGATCTGGAAAACAAAGTGAACAACCTGAAAGAGAAACTGGATGCATTTGCAAAGGATTACAGCATAACTGTGGATGACCTTGAACTTGCTTTGGAAAATGCCAAAACTAATCTCCAGGCAGCTTTGTCTAAACTGCAGGTTTTCCTGGTTGAAACTGAAAGGTATATAAGGAGCAATTATGACTTAAAGGCAGCTGTTGTGCAACTTATCGAGCAGATTATTGAAAAAATGAAAGTTATAGACAGGCAATATGAAATCAGTAAAAAAATGATCGGCACTATTCATCAACTGCAATCTGCCATCTCTCAGTATGACTTTAACCAGATAGGAAGCAGCGCTGCTGCTTGGGTTCAAAATATGGATGCTGAGTACAAAATCAAAGCTCGAGTGCAAGAAAAACTAGACCAACTGAAGAAACAGATACAGAATATAGATGCCCAACGTATTGCAGAGAGTTTGAAGCAGCAAGTGGAGGCAATTGATATTAGAACACTTATAGAGAAGCTGGACGTGTCCTTTCCCATTCAAAAACTTAATCAAATTCTGGAGCAAATTAAAGATCTTCTTCTAAATTATATGGAGGACTACAAAGTGACTGAGAAGATCAATATACTTCGGAACAAAATGCATGAACTTATTGTGAACTATAGAGTTGATCAGCAGGTCAAAGTTCTAATGGACAAAATAGCTGAGTTGTATAACCAACAGAAAATTGGAGAAACAATCCAGAAATTAACCCTGTCTCTGAAAAAAATTGACCTAAAATCATTCTTCAACCAAGTACTGAAATTCATTGATGATGCTGTTAGGCAGCTCCAATCATTTGATTACACAAATCTGGTGGATGAAGTCAACAACTTTCTTGATTTTGTTATCAAGAAGCTGAAGTCATTTGATTACAACAAATTTGTAGATGAAACAAACAATAAAATCCGGGAAACAACACAGAAAATCAATGATGAAATCAAAGCCTTGGAGCTACCTCAGAAAATGGAAGCTACAAAACAATACATCAAAGATGTCGCTGCTGTGGTTGCTCAGAACATACAGAAACTAAAAGACACTAGACTTGCCATCATCGTTAATTGGCTTAGTGATCTCCTAAGCTCAACAGCATTAAGTGAACTGAAAAGTAAAGCTTGTGAGTACCTGGAAGATGCACGTGAGAGAATTTATCAAATTGATATCCCATTAGAAATCCGGGGATACCTTGAGAAGGTCAGCCAGCTCTACAGCACCATAATCACCTTCCTAGATGAACAATGGAAAACTGCCTCAAAAAAGATTACCCTTTTAGCTGAGCAATACAATGTAAAAACTATGGCTGACAGTTTCAACCACTTTGTTGAAACTGGCTTCAAAGTTCCTGAGATCAGAGCAGGCATAATCAACATACCAGCTTTTGAAGTCAGTCTCCGGGTCTTGCGGGAAGCCACCTTTCAAACTCCAGATTTCCTTATTCCACTAACTGACCTGCGTGTCCCATCTTATCAGGTAAACCTCAAGAAATTGAGAGAAATCAGAATTCCAGTCAGATTTACTACTCCTGAGTTCACCATTCTAAATACATTCAAGGTGCCATCTTATACAATTGATTTGAATGACATCAAGCTGAAGATTGTGAAGACGATTGACCAGATCATGTCGAGTGACTTTCAGCTGCCAACTGCTGATGTGTATTTCCAAGATATAAAGATGAAAGATATGTATTTTTCTGACTATTCTTTCCCAGAAATGAATTTCCCTGAACTCCAAATACCTGAATTACTGATCCCAAAACTAAATTTGAATGAATTCCAGTTCCCAGAGATCCAAATTCCAGAATTCCAGCTGCCCCGCATTCCACACTCTGTGATGGTCCCTACATTTGGAACATTGTCTGGTACTTTCAAAGTAACCTCTCCCTTCTTCACGTTGACTACTAATGGTGCTTTTAAGAACACAACAGCTTTTGCCCACAGCCCAGAATTTTTGGGGTCTATTTCAGCAGTAGCAACTTCCAAAATCAACTGCCTTGCTTTTGAAATGACTGCAGATACAAGTCTCTCAGCTCCCGAGATGCAGCAGTTAATCCTAAGAGACAACCTGAAGTTCTCCCACATGTACATTGATGCTATTCATGCAGGTGAAATAACATTTTTGGGGACTTCTGTTCGGGGAAATGCAGAAACTACAGCAAAATTCCATACTGAGCGTAACTCTATAGATCTGTACAACCAATTAACAGGCAGCCTCCAGAAGAAGATTTCCATAGAGAGCAGGACAACCTACAGACACAGGCTATATATTCCAAATTTCAGCAGCCAAGCAGAATTAAGTAATGAAATAAAAACAGCACTAGAAGCAGGACGCATATCAGCTACTTCCATTGGCAGAGGAGACTGGAAATGGACAGCCTTCGATTACTCTGGTGAAGGAACCCATGAATCAAGTGTCAACTTCGGTTTAGGGGGATCTGTAGCTTCATTCGTAGCACAAAACAAGATCAATGATAAGTACTTGAGAGTCGACCAAAGACTGGCATATGAATATAATCTACCAAGTTCTGCAAGGCTTGAAGTTCAGTCTGTAGTAGAATCTCCACAGCTGGGACGTAGTGACTTAAATGTGCAAGGCACAGGGAATCTTGCAGAGCTCAAAACAGAACTGAGGGGCACACACAATGCTAAGTTGAACGGACGCATATCTGGGACTATAAATAATGATGTGAACTTCTTGGTGCAGCCCTTTGAACTGAGCACATCAACAAATAATAACATGAATGTAAAAGTTAGCTTCCCAATGAAAATAGTCGGCAAAATTGAGCTTGTGAATAATTATATACTGGCACTGAGTCCCTCCACTCAACAAGTTAGCTGGGCAGCTGAGGGCAGATTTAATCAATACAGATACGTCCATAACATGTCTGCTGGTAACAATGAAGAAAGTATAGAAGCTTCTGTGTCCATGAATGGTGATGCTAACTTGGAGTTCCTAAAAAATCCCCTCTCGTTTCCTGAACAATCTATCATGGGCATCAAGACACCCCACGTGCAAGGATACTCTCTGTGGGAGGACTCAGGGCTGAAGAATTTACTGAAGACTACAAAGCAATCATTTGATTTAAACCTGAAAGCTCAGTACAAGAAGAACAAAAATATGCACTCGTTTCAAATTCCTTTGGATGGAGTACATCAAGCTCTGAATCAGTACATTGCAACCTTCAACAGGCACTTTGAGAAAGGTAGAGACAACACCTTAGCATTCCTGACCGAGTCCTATAACCAAGCCAAGACCAAGTTTGACAAGTACAAAATAGATACTTCAGTTAACAAAGTCCCACAGACATTCAGGATTCCAGGGTACACTGTTCCAGTGGTCAACATTGAGGTATCTCCTTTTACTGCTGAGCTCCCAGCTTTTGGCTATGTGATCCCTAAAGAAATGAGCACTCCAAGTTTCACTGTCCCACTTGTTGGGTTTTCAGTGCCATCCTATACATTGGTCCTTCCATCATTGGAGTTACCAGTCCTTCATGTTCCCCAAGGTCTGCAGACTCTTAAGCTTCCCAGCTATCGAGCACACTTGCCTTTAAACAGAATCTACATTCCAGCCATGGGAAATATTACCTATGAATTTTCATTCAAATCTAGTGTGATTACCCTGAACACAAATGCTGGCCTTTTTAACCAATCTGATATCATTGCTCGCTTGAGTTCATCCTCCACTTCTGTGATTGATGCCCTGCAATATAAATTGGACGGAACAACCAGCCTCACAAGGAAAAGAGGGTTGAAGCTAGCGACTGCATTATCCCTGAACAACAAATTCATAGTGGGAAACCACGACAGTACCATCAGTCTCACCAGGAGAAATATAGAAGCTTCAGTGATTACCACAGCAAAAAGCAGCATGCCAGGCTTGAACATGAATTTTAGGCAGGAGCTTAAGGGAAATGCTAAATCAAAGCCAGTCATTTCCTCAGCTATTAATCTAAACTACGCTCTTGACACTCGTGGTGCCACTGCTGAAGGAGCAATTGTCCACAAGGCCACCTTGGAAAGCATTGTATCTTATATATCTGTAGATACTTCAACCAATGCTTTCATCAACGGAGTGCTTCACAAGAGAAAACCATTTTCTGGAAAGTTGGTTCATGAAGCAGATGCCTACCTAAATGCTAAAGGTGCTCGTTCCTCAGTCAAATTTGAGACCAGCTCTGACATTGATGGAATTTGGAAGTTTGACACAAAAGAAAATGTTGCCATTGAAGCATCCACTCGTCGTCTTTATGCATTATGGGACCACAATGGAGAAAATCATCTGAAATATTATCCAATTGTCAGAACTGAAGGACATCAGAACTGCAAAGTGACTTTAGAAGTAGAGCCTGGAAGTATGTCCATGCGTCTTCAGATACAAGCTAGCCAACCAAATAATTTCTTCGGTGAGACTTCAGTTAATCAAGACTTTTCCGTTGCCACCAACAGTGAGAATCAGAAGATTGAGTGGAAGATTGAAGGCCAAACCCTCTCCCTCTTCCTTGGGCATCACTTGCAGTTATCGAATGACAACACAGAAGCTCATTTTGACCTGTCCAGTTCTTTGGGAGGTCATGTAGCTTTCCTCAGAGGCCTTGTGCTGCCAGTTTATGACAAGAGCTTATGGCAGATCTTGAAATTAGATGACACCACTAGTCCTGGAGAACGGCAATACTTAAATGTGTCAACATCCTTCGTATACACAAAAAATGAAGATGGGTACTTTATCCCCATAAATGTCAACCAGCTGACGGATGGATTTACATTCACAATTCCTGAAATTAACTTACGGGATATCAAAATCCCCCAAAGACTGACCACCACGCCATTTCACATTGGATTTCCATCACTTCCAAAAATTCAGTTTCCTCAGTATGATGTAGTGACCAGCTTGAAAGAATATAAAATTCCCTACTTTGAGGTGACTATACCTGAGAAGCTATTAACTGTATCTGAATATACTCTTCCAAAGACCCTTTCTCTGGGTAAAATCTTTGTGGACTTCAGCGCTGCAGCCAAGAAGATAGCTGATTTTGAGTTGCCTACGATTACTATTCCTGAACAGCAGATTGAAATCCCAGCCATTAAAATCTCCTTCCCTGCTGGAATCTACATCCCCACTTTTGGAGCTTTAGGTGTTTCTTTCAAAGCTGCTTCACCATTGTACAGTACCACCTGGAAAACAGATTTCAAGAACCATAAAGACTCTTTCAACCATTCCATTGATTTTACTGCATATTCACCACTGCAGTTCCTGGCCTATGATCTAAAAGGTAAGATATTATATATATATTTATATAAGTTTTAGGTGTCTTGGATCCTGAGGGAAGTTCTTTGCAAGGGAAGTGTGTCCCATCCTCTCCAGCCACCTGCATTCCCTCAAAACAACAACAACAACCTGTGAATGGAAGGTGCCTCACCCCTCCTTCCATACTGTTCAGAAGTTGCTGCCCGAACCTTTGAGGAAGCTTTTCAGGGAACACAGGCAGCTTTTAGTAGTCAGGCCACTTTCCTTCCATAAACTTCTTCCCATTTACTTAACTTCATATCAAAATCACTGTACCTCAGTCAAAAGCTACATACTATACCAAAAGAATGAAATAAAAGAGCTACATTGTGGAAGGAAAATGAAAGAGTGTGCTAGGAATCTGATACTTCAGGCAGTATCTGAAGTAATAGGAATTATACTTCAATTTTTAAAAGAGTTTCACCAATATTTTCAGTAATATTTTCAGCTGTCCCATAAGGCAGACTAACATTATTATGTAATCACATATTGCTGTTGGAGGTGGCCAGGGACCAAATATGAAAGGTCAACTAGGTAGTTTAAGGCTAGAGGAAGATTTTGACTCATAGAGGGACATTTGAACCAGGAATATCCATTGTTCTCCTCTGAGTCACTGCCTTTTGCACTTTCCCCTTCCTCAAAACACATTTTCTTATGCCCTCTCCTTTTTGGAGTATCTCTGGTATGGAGATACTCCAAAAAGGATCCTCCATGGAGAGGAAAAAGTGTGGGAATGCCATGATTTTGAGGAGCACCTCATATGGACAAAGATGGAGGTACAGGAAGCTTTCTATCCCCATTAAGCAACACCTATAGATGAGCCCCTAGTTTACAGATGAGTCTGTGCAGTAGACCAGCTCTCTATAATAGCTGCAGCAGATCCTGTAAAATGTAGAAACCAATGACAAAAACTTCTGCATTCAGTGCAGCAATTTATTATTTAATGGAAAAGTGAGATGTTGAGTACACATTATCTCAGCCCTAGACTTTCAATGCAGGCTCCATTTACGTTAGCTATAATTTCACCTGTGTGGAACCTTTTCTTCATAGGTGTGTGGATCTACAAAGGTAACAACATTGAAGGAAACAGCCATTTTGTGCATCGTGACCTGAGTGCAGAATATAAAGAGCGTCTCACTGTACTAGAAAATGGGTAAGGACTTGTTTTCGTCAACCTAAACGGCACACTCTATAGGGAATCCCAATTCAATGAGCTATGGCCATTATAAAATGTGTGCTAAATGTTGTCATTTCACTTAGTGTGCTCCTAACAACCCTCTCTCCCCCCAAAATGGGAGAAGGGAGGGAATGACATCCAAGGAAACATGTCTGAAGGTGCCATCTGCTCTACTTTGAGATTTGAAGACCTTGCGTGATAGTCAACTAAGTCATATTCAGTGGGTTTACTCTGTGTTTGACAAAATTGCCTATCACACAAGGTCTTTTTGTGGATTCCATCACCAGATATGAGACTTTATTCCAAAGTGGGGCAGAATCACTTCACTAGTTTCCTGGCAGCTGGGTCTCCTGCTGCTTGCTGGGAGGGAGAGTGGGGTGTTGGCAACCACACCAGCAGCAAAGCCAATATGGTGCTTCTAACTGTGCATTTGAGTTTTTGTGAAGGGCAGGGGGACAAATATTTATAATAAACAAATGAGTGCCTGGATAGCTCAGTTGGTAAGAACATGGCCTGGATCATGACAAGGTTGCAGGTTCAATCTCTGCATGGGACAGCTGCATATGGCCTAGGACCCTCGTACCTACGGGACCGCCTCTCCCGGTATGCCCCACGGAGAGCCTCAGGGTCCATAAATAACAACACCCTAGTGGTCCCAGGCCCTAAGGAAGTTAGATTAGCTTCAACCAGAGTCAGGGCCTTTTCAACTCTGGCTCCGGCCTGGTGGAACGCTCTGCCTCATGAGACCAGGGCCCTGCAGGATCTGATTTCTTTCCGCAGGGCCTGTAAGACAGAGTTGTTCCGCCTGGCCTTTGGCTTGGAGCAAATTTGATTCTCTCCCCCTCTTTCTTTTTTCCTTTTCCTTTCTCCTCCTGTGATGAGGCTGCATTTTAATATTTTAATGTTTCAATATTTTAATTGTTGTATTTTAATCTTGTTTTAAGTTGTATTCATTCAACTTGTTTTTATTATTGCTTGTTAGCCGCCCTGAGCCCGGCCTTGGCTGGGGAGGGCGGGGTATAAATAAAAATGATTATTCTTCTTATTATTATTATTCCTGCAGGGAGTTGGATTAGATGAGCCCAGTGCTATTTTTCTAGACAAGAGATGCTGGAGGTCACCATGAACTTGGCAATGGCACCCACCTGAGAGGTGCCAGAGCTGAGCTCCAGTTGTTGGTTTTTAAAAAGCCCTGGATGGGATCTTCAGCTTCCCTTTCCACTCTACAATTCTATCATTCTAAGTCTTCTGAGATAGACATTCATTTAAAATCAACTGTATTGTTAAATTAATAATAATTAATAATTACCTTTCCTCTGATTGATTCTGCCTGCTTTAGAACCACTGACTACACGATATCTCTGGATGTCACCAGCCCAACCTTCACTGATGTTCAAGTGCGTTTCCATGAACAGACCGCAAGAGTTGCTACCTCAATATCTTCATCTTCAGCTGGAACCCTTGGCTCTCTCATCAGTCTGGATACGGATACTTTCAAGGGCGAGGTTTTCTACCGAACTCTGGTAAGCATGGCCAGAATTAGGTCGTGTGCTCTTGCTTAAAGGATCATGAACTTACTACTGGCACAGTGCCCATCTTTATGATAGATGGGTTTGAAGGCAGAAGATGGGGAAGTCAAGTTTTATTGTGACAGTCCTGTATTGTGAGGTCCCTGTTAACTGAGTTAGACTGTTTCTCACCAGGAACAGAGGTGTGGTAAGAGCAGGCTGCTCTGTGACAAAGGGATATGCCACTTCTGGGGTCTATCTTTCCATTTGCCACAGCATAGTTGCTCTGCTTCTCTCTTTCATCTCTTCAGCGTAAACTGAGTTTTTTAGAATTTGAATATGTCGCCAGACTTCTAGCAGTACCATGAGGGGAAGACTAAGATGTGTTTTTCTAAGGCCACTTTTAACTTATTTGTAGATGTTAGCCGAATGCAGGCTTCTCCTACCTTTTGCCCGTCCCCCAAGTTGTTGGACTACAACTCCCATCATCCCTGATAATTGGCCATTGGATTTTTAAATTATAAATGATTACTGCAAAAAGAAGCTATATCTATACACCGGGTCATATTCTGCCAAATTTTTGTTTCATGTTACTTTTTATTTCCCATATTTTAGTGTCCTTGGGTTGACTGAAATTATTTAATAATTCAGATAGGCTTAGGATTTAAGGGTGTTAGGAAACAATTTAAGATGTTTAAAGACAAATCTGAAAGAATGAAAGATGTCAAGTGACTAAGTTAAATTTTCTGAGAAAATTGAGTTTGGAAAACTGTTAAAATGATATATAACAAAATTCAACCAAGGGGATTTGAGGAAGTGACTAAATAATGTTACCAAGATTTAAATAGGATGTATGTTTGTGTGTTTGTGTTTTAAAAATCTTTGGAAAATTAATAAAAATTTTGAATTTTTTTTTAATAATTTAGGAAGGGCACAGCAAACAGGCATAAGCCATAACCACAGATATGATAAACATTGGTGCAAAATAAGTCTATTAGTGGAAGACATGGCTTGGGCTTTTATTGGCAAAGTAGTGGGTGAGTGACAGTTCCTAAAAATGTGTTTTGCATTTGCAGTCTAACCCTCAGGAAGACGTCGATCTCTTTAAAAGCGAGATATCATTCCGAAATCCTGAACTGATTCAAGTCAAAGCCAACTGGAAAGAGGATGCTGCCATAGACCTACTTGAAGGCTTAAAAGAGAAGGTTCCTAAAATAGCCGGTGCTTTGTACAACTGTGTTAACAAGTACCACCATGAGCATATGGGTATTGAGATCAACACTGCCACCTTGAAGCTGAAGGACAACCTGAAACATAATGCTGACATGTCTTACAGAGCTACTTTAAGCACTATCAACGAACTGGAACAGGGGCTGCATGGCATAACTAACCAGGTCACTGGGGAATATGAAATCTTGAGGAAGAAAGCCAAGAAGATGTACCACCAAGCTGCAGATCAAGCCAACCAGATGGACTATGACCAAATCAGAGCCCAGTTTTTTGAAGCCACCATAAATATAATCGCAGAATACCATAAAAGGGTGAAGCGTCTTATTGATTCTGCCATAGAATTCTTGAAGGTAACAAAATTCCAGGTGCCAGGAGTAGACGGAGAGCACACTGGTGAAGAACTTTATGTGATGGCCACTGAGAAGTTAGCAAACACCGCAGAGCTCTGCATCACAAAAATGCAGGAATATTTTGATGACCTGAATGCATATGCGAATGAACTAGAGGTTAAAATTCCAATTTCCGGCCAGACCCTCAAAGTTCGTGACATACTTGATGAAATTAAGGTCTTTCTAACACATGTTAGAAATAGAGTCAGTAACCTATTTCTTGCCCTTGAAAAGATTGACTTCACACAATATCTAAGAGAGCTCAAGGAAGTCACTCAGCAAGTTTTCAAAGCAGCAGAAGATCTGATCGCAAATTTGAAAGCCCAAAACTATGAACATTTAAAAGCCCAGGCAAGACAACTCTTGGCCAAGATCCATCAAGGACTCAATGAGTTAGCAAACAATATAGGATACTTCGCTCAGCAGGTTGGAAAGTTTATCCAGCAGACTTTGCAGGTTAGTTCCGTGGAGATAGAGCGTTTGCTGCAAAGCATCAAAGCCTTGAGGGAGGAATATTTTGACCCAAGCATTGTTGGGTGGTCTGTCAAATATTACGAAGTGGAAGAGAAGGTGGTGGCTTGGCTGAAGGGTCTGATCAATGATGTGATTGAGTGGCATGCCAAATGGATCAGTGGGGCTTCTGACATGATTGCACACCTGACAGATCAAGTGAAAGATTTTTTGGAGAACTATGAAACTGAATTCTCCAAGTCGGCTCATGACAAGATTCTATATTGGTCGGAAGCTGCTAAGAAGAGTGCTGTAGAACAAAACCAAAAAGTCAAGGCAAAGGTATATGAGGCATACGAGCACCTGTCTGATTCCTATGCAAGGCTTATCGCTAACACTAAGACCCTGATAGACCTGACAATAGAAAACTATACTGCATTCCTCCGGTACCTCCAACAGCTTCTGGATCAGTTTGAACAAGCGACAGCTGACACACTGAGGCCCTATATCGTTGTCCGCCCAGGAGAGCTCAGGATAGACATCCCAAAACCATTTGACTTGCCAACCATTTATCAGATGAGCCAGCTCAGTGAGGAAGATATGAGAAAGAAACTGGAAATAACACGGGAACTGATTCAGCAAGGTGTCGAACAAAGCTCCAGGAAATGGGAGGATCTGCAATATTTCATTGATCAGCAGATCAGCGCTGGGCAACTGACCATGCAACAGATCAAGGAAAATGTACAGAAGCGCTTGCAATCTTGAACGGACAAAGAGAAAGAAAGGTAGTGCAAACTTTTACCACGCCATATTTAAAGCCAGCGGCAATCATTGCTCTTGGAACATCAGAAAGCTATTTGTTTGAATTTGGCATTTGTAAATGAAAATGGAATAATTTGTGGGTTAGTCTAATGCTTTTCAAAAGCCAATAAATTAATTCTTTGTGACATTTTAGTGTCCTTTCATTGAAACCAGTTTTCTTTTAGGTCATAGGTCATAATCCAGTATTTTATAATGGAAGCCTTTACAGAGGCTTCAGATGGAACAGGGCCAGAACCCACATTGAGCAAAACGTTTTGAAAATTGCTTCAATGGAAGATGAGAACCCAATGGAACAAAAAGTAGCATGTGATGAAAAAGTCAGCCTAAGAACCCAGCTTAAGAATGTGAACTATAAATAAATTTTAATTAGGCAAGTAACAGGAGGAAAGTAGGCAGAAGCGTACATGTTGGGTTGGAATGTGCATTCTCCATAAAACAAATCAAAGGCATCATCAGTGAGTAAAACTGATCTGTCTACAAAGTTAAACATTAAGTTTCTTTCGTGCCCTAAATAGTCCTCTAACCAGTCAAGGGTCAAGCACTGTACTTGTCAACATAGTTTCCCTTTTTCTTGTCAACCGTGTTAGTATTTTCTGGTTTGTACAACCACTATTTTTATATTCCTATTTTAATTGTTGAATATTTTATTTTTGGTTCAGTCCAAGGCCCACCATTGTTTCAGGCAATCTTCAGCTTAAACTAAGGTTGTCAGCTCCTTGTTCTGAAGCAGGCTGGTGTCCCACTGTTTTTACTCTGCCAGTACTACTTAAATAGGCAAAGTTCATTAGAGGCAGTATTTCAAGAATGAGCACTCTCTTGCTGCTCAGTTGTTGAAAGTGCAACCCCGCAGGAAGGCCTCATGCGAATATTCCTGAGTTTGAAAATTCTGAAATTTCTGAAAGCAAAATATTTGGGCCTAATAATTTATTTGGTTTTATATTTAGCCATTAGAACACACTGTACATATCAGAGATCAGACTAATAGGATTCCCACCCTTTTCCGTTCCCTTCTTGCTTTTCTCAGAACAAACTTGTTTTGCAATGTCAGTAGAAAAGTTGTGTATATGTATCCTTTAATTAAACAGTTCACTCTGCTAGCTTCTGTATTTTTTTCCCTTTACCTTGGTAATTTATGAAAGGAGGTTTCTTCTGTTTCGTTTTCTTTGAACCATATTCTTTTCATTCTCTTTTCCTGGGACACTTTTGGGGCTCGTTACAAAGGGATTTTGCAAGTGTGTTCTAAGTCTGTCAGAGATGACTCCCACCTTTGGAAAACGATTCTCATTATTGGAAGCTAAACCTTTGGCAGAGGAGCCAAAGAATTTCAAGAACAGCCCTATCAACTCCATCCCATCACGGTTTCTCCATTTTGTTTATGGGATTCTGCTCACAGGATTCTCTGGCTAGGGTCAGTGAAGAGTCTGTGACTCCGTTGGGTAGGAGGCAGCCCGTCCTTTTCACTCACTTGAAATGGTTTACATACACAAACATCAGTTGTGAGGCCTACACTTTGATGAGCAGCTCAATAGTCAAGGGCTTTCACTGCTTCCAGAAGGTCTGGGTCTGGGCGAGTCTAAAAAAGAAGAGAATCAAGGGAGGCCTCTCTGCAGCCTTGGGGTTCTGACTTAGCACACAGATAGTAAGCTGAAGAGGGCATTCCTCATTAATCTTAAAAGGTTGAGGTGGGGCTAGAGGCTGTTGGTCATCATCAACATTTTGAGTTAAGCCTGGAAGGAAGTGGTGCAGATACCAGCTTCCCAACACCATGTGAGTCCTGGCAAGCCTTCAGGTGGGCCACACTGCAGTTTGCATTACCTGAAGCTTACAAACTGTGACCCTTGACAATGCCAGTGATGTGACATGTCCTACACGGCTTTTCCAAATGTTCTGCTATTGCTCTAAGTAACAGTGTACATAAGGGACCCTCCTCAATGGGAACAAAAGCTCTCAGGTGAAATGCTTCCAGGCAGTCAGATGGTGGCACTATGCACAAAGTTCCACCGGGGGCCGTTCTGAGCTCATTAAAATGTGTGTTATGCTGCTCATTGTCTCGTTCTCATTCTCTGCTCTGATTTCCCCTTGGTTACCTAGTTGGAAACTGTACCCCTGATAATTCATACACACACACACACACGGACAACCTCTAACAAATGTTGCTAAGTGAGGAACTGCCACCTGTTAAGAATCTATGGTTTGGGGATTCACTGAAGTGTGCGGTTTTCCCACACTAGTATTTTAAAAGGTTATAGATCATGTGTGCATAATAGGCAGAACATTAGGTCACTTGTCTCACTTACAACAATAATCCATTTTGATATGGGTCAGGTTGACACAAAGAATCTGCCCATACCAGGTCTATTGATGAAACTGATCCCCTTTCCCCCCAAACTAATGAAATTTTCAACTAATGGGTACTTAAGTTAATAAAGTGTGCCACACATCTGTTTGGAGCCATTTGTAAAAGAAACCATTGGGAGTTCAGCTCTGAGATCACTGATATAACGTTTGAATGGCATCCCACTGGGAAACAGCATGGTATCAAATTAAGGAAAGTAACACAATAAATGTGTGAGAAATAACATTAGTGCATAAACAGTAAGGAAGAGAAGAGAGCTTGAGGGGGGATGACTGCCACTGGGTGTCCACAAAACTACTACTAATAAATTATCAGGGCAAATCCTTATCCCCTACTGGTGGCTTTGGCATTGACTTAAATGAATCACTTTCAGAACAAAAACCACATCAAAATAATAATGATGAATTGATAAATTATTTTATTATAATAATAATAATTTACACACACCTACAAAAAATACGCTACACACAGCGTACCCATCATAATTCTTTGTACATCATTATTTTACTAAACTCTATCACAAGAATATTATTTTCCAACTTCTTGCTGCATTAATACTTAGTGATTGACAACCTCAGAATTTTGTTCTTCTTATCATCCCAATTTAACTTATCCCTCTTACACTCCACCAGTTTAATAATCTCTCTCCACATATTGGCAGCTTTTTCACTTCACATTTCACACATCATTGTGCAGCGCATAGAAATAATGCCAAGAAAAAATCTATAATAATGTGTGTGTGTTTTAAAGCCCATTCATTGCTACTTAGAGAGTCAAAACATAGATGGATGATGATAGATAGATAGATAGATAGATAGATAGATAGATAGATAGATGATAGATAGATAGATGATAGATGATAGATAGATAGATGATAGATAGATAGATAGATGATAGATAGATAGATAGATAGATAGATAGATAGATAGATAGATAGATGATAGATAGATAGATGACAGATAGTTGTATGCCCCCTGTCTCCGAAGTGGTGCAAGTTTTCAAGAGTTCCAGGCCACAAACTATTAACAATATCATGGTAACAATGGCACTGCCCAAAATGAAAATGATTCACATACATTTGAGCTGACCATGTTAGAATTATAAATACAAATTTAGTTTTTGTTCCTTGCTACCATGCAGCCAAGAAGTGCCTCAAGACATCAGGTATTAAAATAGGGAATTCAATATACATAGATTGGCTCATCAGAGCATTCTAGTTTCTAGTGGGACATATTTTGAAAAGAGTTGTTAAGTGCTATAACAAGGAGTTGAGCTGAACCTGAGCCGAAATCCCTCCTAAACCAGAACAGAACTCGAACCATTCCTTCAATGTCTTCAAATAATAAACTTTGCATGACTTTTTACTCTTGCCCCGTCTCTCTGCTCTCATATCCTACCCACAACTTTTGCCCCTCCAGACCCAGCACCTTCAGCTGCCCAAAGGTGTCCTACTCCCTCAAACAACTTGGTCCATTCTTCTCTTGCTACCTAGGACATGCCGTCCAATCCAGCTGAGTGGTGGTCTTCAAATTGGTCCTCAAAGAAGATGTAATTGACATCATTGGGGTAATAAGAAGTTGGCTTGACAATTCATTTGTGGGTTTCCCAGGACCCCCTAGTGACTCTGCCACTGCAACCCAGTCTGCAACTAAGCTTCATTCAGGTTCTACAAGATGCCGGTTCCAACTGTAGCATCTGTCACAAGTTACTTGTGTACAGAGGCATGTTAGAGTGTAACCATGGTGATCTAAGTCCAAAGTCTTTTGTATAAAGTTCTAGATCAGCTGCCGAGGGGCATTGCAGGGTTCGCCTGCACCCAGGGTGCGTGCACACACATGGTGGCGGGAACAGGGGGCGCATGGAGGGTGAAAAAAACCCTATCGTGCCAGCCCAGTCCTCACCATCAATGCCACTGGGTGGGCACAGGGCAAGGAGGCTTCATGGGGCCGCACTATGTTGCCTGCCCATCTTTGCATGGGAACCCAACCAGCCGGCTGGGCAAATATTCAGCAAGGGGGCCAAGGACATGGCAGCCAGGACAGAACAGACTCCAGGGCCCAGAGATGGTGGCAGGCAGGGCAGGACAGGGATCCCTGCATGGGGGTGCCTGGTTCGCACCCCCTGAAAATCATGTGCCCGGGGCTATAGCCCTCCTGCCTCCCCATGCTATGTCCCTGTACCTGCCCTCTTTTTGTTAAAAGAGGTGGGGGAAGCAGAAATATGAAACAAACAAGCAAAACCTTTAAACAAAAGCATGCATTTTAAAAAACTGAAAGAAAAACATGGAATTTTTAGTTGCAGTTCAGCTCACTTAAGCCCCACTGATTTCATAGGGGTCAATGATTTCAACAAAACCATAAACAAAAAGAGAAAACTACCCCCAACCCCTTCCCTGGTTCATGAAGCAACAGCAACAGCAGCACAGGCACCACAGTTTTACATCTCTGATGAGTTAAGTTGTCAGTAAATGGAAAGTAAGTGCCTAGAGAAATAGAAATGTATTATCTCAGAGATCAACACAGCAATACTGCTTTTTTCCTTCCTTCCTTCCTTCCTTCCTTCCTTCCTTCCTTCCTTCCTTTCTTTCTTTCTTTTCTTTGGTGCATAACATGGCAAAGAGCAGCAAAAAACCAGTTAGTCTATCCAAAGGCAAGCCTGTGCTCACAGTGGAAACAATCATGTTCTACTGCATTAGCAAAGTTAATAAACAGAAATCAAACTGATTCAAAAGCGTCCTTTTACTGGCCTCACTTTTTGCAAAAAATTTTCCAAAAGAGCAGCCTGCCACACTCTCAGATACCACAGATCTACAGTGGTACCTCGGGTTACATACGCTTCGGGTTATATACGCTTCAGGTTACAGTCTCCGCTAACTCAGGAATAGTACCTCGGGTTAAGAACTTTGCTTCAGGATGAGAACAGAAATTGCGTGGCGGCAGCGGAAGGCCCATTAGTTAAAGTGGTGCTTCAGGTTAAGAACAGTTTCGGGTTAAAAACAGACCTCCGGAAAGAATTAAGTACATAACCAGCGGTACCACTGTAATGCCATTCCATGAAAACCTTCCAGTTGTGAGGCATGATTGTCCCTACTTCTGCCAATAAGTGACCCAGAAATTACTTACATTTCAGTTAAACTATCTATATCTATCTATCTATCTATCATCTATCTGTCTGTCTGTCTATCTATATCTATCTATCTATCTATCTATCTATCTATCTATCTATCTATCATCTATCTATCTATCTATCATCTATCTATCATCTATCTATATCTATCTATCATCTATCTATATCATCTATCTATCTATCATCTATCTATCTATCTATCTATCTATCTATATCTATCATCTATCTATCTATATCTATCTATCATCTATCTATATCTATCTATCATCTATCTATCTATCTATCTATCTATCTATCTATCATCTATCTATCTATCTATCTATCATCTATCTATCATCATCTATCTATCTATCTCACAGTGCTGAGATGAGGGTTGGACCCATTGCTCAGTGGTACAAACTTGCAGCCAATTCTTGGGGGAGGAATGCGTCTGTTGACGTTTCATGATTCTGTTAATACTCAGTCTTCAAATTCTTGTTCGTGAAGGAATCTGTGGTTTTGTCTCCATGATTCATAAAGGCAATGTATCATTTAATAACACCCTGAAAAAACTGTATTCTTGCCATAACCTAAAAACAGCAGTTGACCACTTGACGAGTTCTGCTTAAATTATTG